TTAACATAATTTTAATCCGGTTAAAAAGTTTTTTTTCTTTAACTGTAGTTATTTAAACAAAAATTCGACTTGTTTAATTTTGAACCTAAATTAGCCACTGATTTCTATGGAAGAAGCCTAACAAAGGCACAATCCAATTTAGTACAGGTTCCTACAATCTTTTTAATTAAAAACCACAAAAACATTGAATAACTTCGTGGAGTGATAGCGAGGGTCGCTCCAATTACGGCGAATACTTGACACACTTGTCCTGATAAACTCGTTAAAATGTCAAAGGAAGATGGCATTATGATTTTTATTAAATTAAACAGAGATAAATAGAGATTCGTTGCAGCGTCTTTTAATGTTGCGGTTTTGTGGGTAAAAGCTTTAGCTTTATTTTCAAGATGTTTTAGCGTAATTGAAGAGTTTGCTTAATTTTAATGAAATCATATTTTAATAATAAATGAATAATGTTTATGTAGAAACCATCCATAGTTTTTTTTAAAACATTTCAGCATCTCATCCAGACTTTCACCACTACAATATTTTAAATCACAAAAAACTATACATGTGTGAGAAAGGTCAGTGATGGCCTAGTGGCTTCAGCGTGTGACTCTCATCCCTTAAGTGGTAGGGTCAATCCTGATGACTGCTGATGATCTGTCTATGTGGGAATTAAACACTCGCTCCTACGGTGAAGGAAAACATCGCGAGGAAACTGACATGCCTTAGACTACTGTCATGCACATCAAAAAACTGATCACCTAGTTGCCTAAGAAAATCAAGTGATCACGTAACAGATTTATAAACCTGAGCTCAAGACCTAAACGGCTGTAGCCTTTTTATTTTTTATGTAAAAATATATACCTATGTATTTTTTATATTTTTCGGTTAAAATTTACAAGATAAAGTTTTAATCTGCTAACCAGATTTAATTTTAAACCTTGGCATGACGTTGAACGCGTTTAACATTCTTCGCGAAGTGGCATAGTTAACATAACTTAATTAACATAATATATAAAGCTACAAGTGGTCTTGTGTGCTCATGTTTGTATGGTCGAAGTAACCTTTTGAAGTGATTTTTTTTTAGCATCGTTGTGATTTGAAAGTCGATGAAACAAAAAGGGACAATAAAAAGAGACGGACACATAAATTCATAAGATTTAACGTGGGAGAAAATGAGATAGAAAGCATTATACAGTGTATAAACTATTAAAAAAAATATATATATTAAAAAGAGGGCGTAAAACTAATCGTAAGTTATCATACAATTAAGAGAAATGTCATACCTGTTAGATTGGAGAAACCAATTTCCTCTCTTTAAAAATAATTCATTTAGCAGACGATTCATTATTTATGTTTTAGTTATAATACCCTTGAAGCTACTAACATACTTTTATTATATTCTATTTATGCTCTCAAATCACATATGTTAAAACGAGGACAACACTTATGAAATATGTAATAAACAAGATATAAGTGTGAAAATAACAGAACTTACGAAACAGGCGCAGCGCTAACCAGATCCATGCAACTTTTTATATCGCAGAAGTCGCATGGGTTCCAGAACAGTTCACGAATTTAAATAACCCTGCAAAGATTTTGCAAGATTTTATAGTTGAAATTTTATATATATTTATCACAATATTGAAGCATCTCGAAAGAAGATTTATTTTCTTTCTTATCTAAAAAGGATTTAATTATTTGTAAACTAATACTCGTAGCTTCACGGCCATAATAGAAACAGAAATAATCAAGTAAAACATAAAGAATTGTATGTATCTTAAAACAGTTCCACAGAAAATACAGCAGAATGATAAAAAAACAATAGTTTTGATAAGGTGCTAAACTAACTGTATAAAATCTATATATCTAGGTATTAAAGTTCCTACATTTTCTATTTCTCATCGGAAAAATCTGGGGCATTTTTATAAGCATTACTTATCTATCTTTTATAGGTCACGCGTATACTTAAGAAATAAGTTTCTTGCGGTTATGTAAAAACTTGTCAGTCGCTTCACGAAGTTGCGATTCTCAACTGAATTTCTTTTGGGTTATCATTTACTTCCTATCTTGGTAGTAAGACATGAAGGTGTATTGTTTAAGTGTAATAACAATATCTTCAACGCTACGTTTTTTAAATATAAGTAGCTTATAGTAGTAGTATGTATGTATGTTTCCGCACTTTGACGCCTATTGGGTCCGTTGTGCATGAAGTTTCCTGGGCACTTTACAGGCTTCACGGAGCGACATCACTGCTCCGATGGTTTCTGTTCGTTGGGAAGCCACAGGCATTCCAGGACTATATATGCCTGTATATAGTAGTATTATTTAATCAACTACCCTCTAAAAGTCGTAATATTAGCGTGTTTAATCAATTCAAAAATGCATTAAAGATACATATTACAATGAGCCTAGTAGACTAAAATTGGGATAGCTGATGGCGACGCGTATCTCGTTCGTATATTTATATTATATTAAGTTTTTCATGTAAATAAAAATACATTTTTTGTAATGAGAAATAAAGTTCTTTAAACATATTATTTACAACTAAGCAGGAAAAAACAATAATACGTTAGGATATCACCCGGGCACCAATCATTTTACTGCTCCAACTTATCGATCTGCGCAATTAGCCTCAATTACATTTCTATAAAAAAAATTTTAGAATTAAAATATGAAAGGAATTTATGGACTGAATGAATGTTTCGCTAAAGAGTTTATATCAAGCATTTACTGCAAATTACATCGTATGAATGTGGGTTTAATTTTAAGCTATCATGTATTGCGCTGATTGAAATGTGAATAGCGAGTTGCGGGGTGGTCTGCAGAGGATTAACTTTCACAACTGAACGTTTTTTAAGGCACTTTTTGAGCTATGTGGAATCAGCTGCCCATTGAAGTATTTACTAACCAATTCGACTTACGGCATTTAAAGAAAAGAGCGTATCAATTCATAAAAGGCCGGCAACGCACTCGCAAGCCCTCTGGCATTGAGTGTCCATAGCCGGCGGTATCATTTTACATCAGGCGAGCCTCCTGCCTTTTTCCACCCTATAAAAAAAACTTAAGTAATGTTTCCTTTTTGCACATCTCTGTGTTTCTTTCAGCTGTCTTTTGCTAAAGAAGAGATCGCACTTCAGCGATAAGGCCGTTCACACTAACCCGTATTTATTACTTAGTTTTTTGTGTGTAAATAAATTTAAAAAAATAAACTTAGTACAGTTATCTAAGTTTAAATAGATATAAATTAAATTCTCCTTTCTTGCTTGTTATATAAAATTAATGTGACCTCAATAAGACTTAATCTAATCACTTAACCGCGTAAAAATAACCCATATTGCTAAGCTACCAAATTGCCACTCAAATGTTAATGGGAATCTCATTCGCTCTGCGAAATTATCAATTTATTTTTATAAACTCGTTAGTGTCTCATCTCGTTTTTAAGGTTTTTAAAGAGTTCATATAAAGAAAAAACTTTTTAACCGGATTAAAGTTATGTATTATTATAAATTTACAATTATTTAACATAATTTTAAATTTATCCGACGTTTCGCGTGCTTTACAGCGTGCGTGGTCACGGTGACTGAAGACAAAAGGTGTTGAATGTCAAAAAGTATCACAGCTGTAGAGAAAGTTGCATTATCTGTATTTATTTCCCCGGAGTTGGTATCGACTAAAAGATGGAGGGTTTTGGCAAAAATGGCTCATGGTGTCCTCTATTTTCGCGGGTTAAAAAGTTTTTTATTTAAATGTGTAAAGGTTATGTCAATCAAAGACAATACTAAGTTCATATAAATATTAGTGACTATAGAACCTACACAAATTGTTATTTTCAATTATGTTATTATAGTATTAGCTTTAAAAATTCCAATTAAGCACTCATAATTTCAATATCCCGCCAAAACGAAAAAGTCTCTAAACAAGATGGCGTCGCACCCAGCCCATTTGACGCACCATGTCAGTAAACGCATAAACAAACGTCACGTTTTTACGTGTTTATTGTCATTCTTAAATTACACAAATACACATTGGTATATTATTTCTATCAAAAACAGTCTCCCACGAAATGAAACTACGTGTTAGGAATAGACAAGTCATGAAATATTTCTTCTGGTAAGGTTCGACTTATCTGTGACCGTTTTGGGTCACGTGACTGACGTTTAAAAATCAACATTTTTATAGCCATGTTTTATACAGATAAGTCTCAATAACACTTCATTTTTCCTTTCGGAACAACAGCTTAATTTGAGATATCCAGTTATCGTTTTCATCAATGGCCTAATTAGGACAGAGACTGCGCTGCGATCAAAGTCAAAATATATTTATTAATTTAGGTAACGTTTGGTCACGTGCAAAAAATATTTTGTAGTCTGTTCTTAATTTTTAACCTGTCGTTACAGCTGAAAAAATAAAATTAGTAGGGTATTTCTTGCATTGTGTATTGTCCAATAAATCTAGATTTTGCATAGCACTAAACATTTATGGAGCTTCAAAGGCACTAATGAATAATAAAATAATTTCAGATGCAGCAGTAGTACTAGTTAATTCACCGAGCCTGCGCCTCTAATCTTTACTCATCGTCAAAACTTCATGGAAACCAGTTGTTCTACATTGAAGAACTTTTAAGGTAACATTCTATTAGTCAATATAAGATATTATCTACTAAATACTTAAGATTTCTTTCCACAAACTTTTTTAAACTGCAGACTTGGTTTCCTGCTTCTGCCATTTCGTCAAAAACCACGTGGATTATAGTGAAGCTGTGTGTGTAAGTAAGTGCCTGTCTTATTAATAGTCTCTTTCCAACACAGCGAAAACACAGTTTGATAGAAAGAGATAGCATATAGTGTAACTAGATCGATTCAATCTATATCTATGGCCAAGGTCAGAATATGATAAATGCATACACATTACTTTGAACTTATCATTGCCTGATCTATGACCACAGATATAGAACCCTATATACCTTATAGTCGTTGTTTAATTATTAAATTTACATTTCAGGGGGATAGTAGATGCCCCACGCGGCGCCAGTCAGCGCCATGTCGGCCGCGCCGCGCCATCCTCACTTCTACACGGTCGAGGTGGGCGACACACGCTTTACCATTCTTAAGCGCTACCAGAACCTCAAACCTATCGGCTCCGGAGCACAGGGAATCGTATGGTGAGACTACTTGGGTATAAGATACCTAAGCCTACGAATTTTAGATATTTATGTAAATAGTACAAAAAGCGATAGTCAATCTATATATATCAAAAAGTTGTAAGCGTCATTTTATATGCACACGTTTCCACGCCACCTCTGAGGTAGTGTACTTCGCGCTACAACTTACTAACTTACAACTTTTTGAATTGTTTTATCTCAGAAGCGGTAGCTTTTAGGAAAAAAATGATTGATACCTTTTTTAGACCATTTTATGATCTACAATTTTGTCTAAGGTAATTTTACGATAAAACGTGCCGTTTTGAAGAAAATCGCGAAAAACCCATTTTTTTACCTTTGGCCTTGAGTTAAATTTTTTCCATGGCACGTAACGATGGGGAATTTTGAAAAGTTGTTTTTAATTGTGTTTTGAAAAAGTTTACCCAGTTTCGGCTTGATGGTTATTCTGGTAGCTTCGCTCTTGTTTTTTGACCTAATTTGATCGGACTATAAGTCAAATTTTTGTTTCATATAAGAATAATATTCATTATTTTAGACCTTTTTATGAATATCTAAATCTAGAGTATTTATTAAAATATTAATTCAATGTCTAAAGTTCAAATAATTAAAAAAAAACAACTCGTTTTAAATTACGCACGTTATCAAATGATTTTAAATGTCACAAGAATTCAAAGTTATACTATACTGAGAAATGTTATGTAAATATAGTCTTATATTATGAAATGCTTTGTACATAAGCTTTAATGTTTAAATATTTTATTTTTAAAGTCGAAGTACTAGGAAATCGCATGCAAATATTTTCATAACTTTATTTTCCATAAATTTATGCTATTTCGTTTTTGCTGTCAATGCACGCTTCACTTGTGTTATTTGAACTTTAAATAGGTCGTTTAAATCATGCACTATTATTTGTTTGAATTTTGTTAGTATTAATATTCAAATATGTACGTAACAAGTATATGCTTTTGTTATTTATTTACACTTCAGTGCACGTACATAAGAGAGAAAAACTTATAATACTACTAATTTCCCCAAAATATATATTAACATTAAGAAGATAAATCACTTGCCAATGTTAAATTGTATAATTTACGATTGTGTATTTTGATAAATAGTTGGAATTTTTCTTTATATTGGGGAAAACAAAGTTTCTAAAAAGTATCTTGCTGATTCGTGTCGGAGGAAACCACTTTTTGACTTCGACTACTCAAAAGTGTTATATAAATGGGTTTTGGCATAAATTGCATTGACTCTATATGTGGTACGTATATATTACATTTTTTAATAGAAATACGTTGACGACAAGAAATTGATCATACGAAATCCAAATCTTAATGAAATGAAACAAAAAATCTTTTATTAAAATTGTCAATCGTGTTATTTAAGAAATACGAAACCTTTTTCCTTCAAATAAGAAATAGAAGTGGTATCATTGTTCAATATAATATTTGCAACTTAACAACAACTGCAAATGCTCTAAACCAGTGTTTCCCAACGCCCCCTTGCGGGAATGGAAACGTTTTTCTATTGGCAATTTGATTGTTAAGGGGAAATCGAAATCAGTTGGATATAACACACAGACACAGACTAAGCAAATTGCAACCCAGTATAAAATCTCTGTGCAGCAAGCAATTAGCACAAGGATCTCACTAAATTAATATAGAAAAATCCTTATTAAAATTATTTAGAATTAGAATTTCAGTTTTTGAATATATGTTTTTAAAATTTACTTATTTTTTCGTTTGTTCCTAGTGATTTCTTCCAATCATTTAAATTTCTTAAGAGAGCAATTCGATTTTTTAATACATAAATTATGTACGTTATAGGGGGAGCATAAAAAGGTAGGCATGGCACAAAAACGGTTGGGAAATTCTAGTCTAAACTAACTTAACCTAACCGCGGCTACCGATAGCTTTTACATAACGTCGAATCAATAAGAACTTGAAAGATTATGTAACATTGTCCGGCTAAGACGTCCGAAAAGGCTTTTTAATGTTCTAGATATTTTAATACACCCATATGACACTTTAAATGGGAGTAACTAAGTGCAATTATACATTACAATATAATATATAATACAGTTATATATTATTATAAACAGTTATATAAATAAATCTCTTTATTAAAGCGATTATAAGATCATACATAATTCATCGTTCATTACACCTATTTCTATATTATTTTAATTTTGTCTCCACACATTTCTTGGGTATTTTCTGTGGTAAAAAAATTACCTTCAGTTATCCGAGTTGGCAATTCATTGCGCATTTCCAGACGTAGGACTCGACCGACTCCAGATCTGATTAGGAGTATCAGAAAGGCAAAGTATGAAATCCTTTGGAGCGCTGAGTAACTTCTAAATGTTTGTACGTGTGTCATGTGGCATCGTATCTCCGTCATAATATGTTTCTGTTTATAGCTGATCGAGTTAAAGCAAGTACAATGGTTCAGTTTTACTCGGTCACACTCGGTGACACCGTCTTCTCGATCCCCACCCGGTATACTGAGCTGGTCCGACGCGGCGCCGGAGCTCAGGGGACGGTGTGGTAAGCGGCGCAGCTTGCTTGTCTCATGCTTTGGTTTACAGACTAATCGCGTTACTAACGGTTAACCGCGGTTTAATTCATCAGTATTTTAACCGCGGTTCAATTAATCAGGGTTTTAACCGCGGTTCAATTAATCATTATTTTAACCGCGGTTTAATTAATCAGTATTTTAACCGCGGTTTAATTAATCAGTATTTTAACCGCGGTTCAATTAATCAGTATTTTAACCGCGGTTTAATTAATCAATATCTTAACCGCGGTCTAAATAATCAGTATTTTAACCGTGATTTAAATGATCGATGGCGAGTATTAGCAAGACCGCCAATGGTGTTCAATTTCTCTCGTTTTTCGCGGGTTAATGGCTGACGGAAGGAATTGTTTTTGGTGTTTAGGGTTTGTTTGAAATGTTTTATAATTAACACTCGTACAGTAATCGTTTTGTTATCATCTAATTTATGGTAAAAATAGTTTGTCTGGATGTAAACATAACATTTACTACTAATTTACTATTACGGTTGCGGTTAAATTGGGTAATGTTTACGTGAGATTTTGGTTGGTTGACAAAAAACCTAAAAGAAGAAAACATTCTATTTTTCGGCCAACTGTGTCCCAATGATTTTTTAAGTAAGAACCTAATTAACTTGACATTCAGTACTTAAATAAAAGTTTTTAAATACAAAGTCAATAAAAATATTCTATAATCTTTGAAAACCATCTTTACTAAGTTTTATTGTAACCCATTTACCATTTATATTTTGTTGCATGGCTTTTCTAATCATATTGTAATTTGTGTGTTTATATTATTTACATGTGTGTATTATTAATGAAATATGTATTTATGTACAAATCTATATTAATGCAGTTGCCAGCCAGATAAGTATCGTGTCTATTTATGTATTTAATGGATTATGTACCAGAAAAATTAACAATAAGTTGGGATACAAATTTAATATAAACAAAAATAATTATTTAATATAAAAAAAAAAACTAAAATAAATTTAAACAAAATTTATAAGTAGTGACTCATCGGGGACTCATCAGACTTTAGAGCTGTTGTCCTGGGCCCTTCATGGTCTGTAAAATGATTTATTTATAATTTAAAATGGAATACAGAATTTGATGTGACGATGGAACATAAATTGGTCACAATTTGTCCGTCCACCAAAGCTTCATCATTTAAATTAAAATAAAGTATACATATACATATTAAATATTCTAATAAATGTATTTTTTATTTCATATATGAACAATTAACGACCTTTTACATTGAAATAATGCTTAATGGTAATATTCTTCACAGTTCTTTAATACAGTTTGTAGTATATATTATCTTTGTTTTTTGGAAGATATAATTTTTTTATGGAAGATATTATCGTTTGCTAAACATAATAGAACAAAATAGCTAGACTAACTTTACATTAAATATTCATTTAAAGTTTTTAATAACTATATTCAATACATATTTTTGTAAACGATAATTAATTTTTCCATCATTAAACTCATAAAAGAAATTCACCACAGTATATATAATGTATTCAATGTTTGAATTCCTTTAAATTTAAAAATATCTTATTTTACAATGCCATTAAAAAATATACCTTAATACAGAGCGATAAAGACTTAGCACGAAGTTTATAGTTTCGTCAAGTGTTCGTATACGTTAATGGGATTATTTCAGTTAATAACAATAAAAGTAATAAATGTTCGTACTAATACCTGCAGCCGAGTTTCATCATCGTCCGTCGAGGCTGAATACAAAATACCCTCCGTATGACCTCGACGGCCGTCGTTCCACAACTGAGCGTATTTTAAAGCAGTTTTTGCCGCGCACCACCACCACGTGGAACCAGCTGCCCATTAAAGTATTTTCGAACCATATCGACCCTAAGGCTATGTTCACATGTAACGCGCGTTAACGCGCGTCAACGCGCGATCAAATTTGAAGAGCGTTCAGATGATGAGCGCTAACGCGCGTTGCGAGAGTACTCGTCAGTCTAGTTCGGTAGAACGTAGAAAATGGACGTGGAAGAGGCTATTATTTTGTGGTTATATTATAAAGAAAAATATAGAAAAAGAAAACGTACACATTGGGTTCATCCACTTTTGAAAAAAAAAATACAAATTATATTATATTTTTTATACAAATTTGCTATATTCCAACTTGCTGGCCTTTTTTCTACTTCATCGATTAGTAAGTCGATGTCAATATCTTCAATTTCACTCATTTTAAATGCGAGAACAAAATATAATTACGAAAATTAACAAAATTACATGCGATCGCGATGAAAGCGCGCGCTCATCTGAACAGCAAACGGACATTACATTAATATCAAAGCGCGCGTCAACGCGCGATCACCTGCGTCTAGAGACTTTTTCTCTGAGCGCCGCGTTGACGCGCGTTAACGCGCGTTGACGCGCGCTCATGTGAACAGTTGTATGAAAATACCACAATGTCTAGTCGCGCGATTTGAAAACGCGCGTCAAGTTTTTGCCATCTGAACATAGCCTAAGTCGACCCTAAGTTAAGAATTGGTAATACTCCAAGAAAAGAGCGTACCAATTCTTAACAGGCCACGCACAAATCTGTCAAATCAGCATGCAAAATGTCTAAAAGACTATTATTATTAAATATTATTAGATAATTATTTATATGCCGGTATCAAATATTGAAGCACCGTGCCTTTAAAATATCGTTAGACTGAATTTGTATAGATAACGTATTGTATACGAGTATCGCATATTCCGTTAAATTCCAAATACGCAAAGCTCTTCAAAAGTTCGTACTAAGGATTATCGTTACGTATAATATAAAGAAAAGCAATGTACCCACTGAGGGATAAAGGTTTGTTATATGAATAATGTGTTGTCAACAGTGCGGCCTACGACACGGTGACGCAACAAAACGTGGCGATCAAGAAGTTGTCGCGGCCCTTTCAAAATGTGACGCACGCGAAGCGCGCCTACCGCGAGTTTAAGCTCATGAAGCTGGTCAACCACAAAAATGTACGTATTTTATATACACTACTAACTTAAAACGTGCTCGATTCGTATAATAAAAAAAAACGTGTGTGTACTTATGTACACGCGTTAGAAGTTATACTTCTTTGGCGTAATCATTTTCTTCGAGTACTTTAGAGGGACGTTTCCCTCTTCGAATTGCATTTTTTTTGACGGTTTTAATGGTCACTTCCAATCGAAACAATATAATATGAACTAATGATAAACATTATGTTTTTTTATGACAATCGAACGGGTTTTCTCGTATAGAAATCATTATTTTGATTTAAATAAACACGACTGAAAAACTCTACGCCATGACAGTGCAACTTGTCGATAAAACAGAGCAAGCGCCAACTAGCGGCTCAGACTGTTTAACCGACGTTTGAACAGATATTCAGGGTGTCGGTTTTTTGTGACTTAGATTATATTATTCTGTTAAAAAAAAAATAGTTTCGTAATTATTAGTTAGTTGTCATAAAGCTTGAGACTAAAGAAACTGACTGACCGTATATTTTAATTGTTTTTTTGTTTCTTAGCTTAGTTGGTGATTAAAGCCTTATTTAATTTCCCACAAAAGTGCTGTAGAAAGTACAGAGAAAAGTATCAGGAAATATTATATTACAGATTATCGGACTGCTGAACGCATTCACACCGCAAAAGAGCCTGGAGGAGTTCCAGGATGTCTACCTGGTGATGGAGCTGATGGACGCCAACCTTTGCCAGGTCATCCAGATGGACTTGGACCACGAGAGGATGAGCTATCTCCTCTACCAGATGCTGTGCGGCATCAAGCATTTGCATTTGGCTGGAATCGTGCATCGGGTAAGAATGTTTACATGGTAATATTAATGACATACGTTTTCGCATATATGATTTATGTTTTTTTAAATACATTAAGTCTATTAGAAGTAGATTTAGTAGTCTTTATAAATATAATTCCACTGTACGTGTGTATGTCACTGAACTCCTCTTAAACGGTTGAACCGATTTGAATAAAAAATTTTGTATGCGTTTGGGTGGCGCCCTGGATGGTTTAGACTCACAACTCAGCCCGTCAGATGGCGCTGCAGTCGGTATTTTCATAGTTATTATCCTAATCGCTATCGCTATCATGCAGAACAACGTCTGTCGGTATATCTATATTATATAGGCAGGCTTTGAAATTAAAAAAAAACCTATTTTAGAAATACATATTTTGAATCGTTCCTTTGTTTACGATATTTTTATAAATTCTCAGGATCTAAAGCCGTCCAACATAGTGGTGAAAAGCGACTGCACTCTGAAGATTCTAGACTTCGGCCTGGCCCGTACTGCCGGCACCACTTTCATGATGACGCCTTACGTTGTCACCCGATACTACCGCGCACCAGAGGTAAGCGTTCACCCGTTCACCATGTTTTAAATAGATCAGGTTTTTGTGTAGGGTGTTTATTTTCTTAAAGTATATAAGTGGAGATTTGGTACCCGTAGCTAACGTTGTTATATATATTTATATTTTTTACTTCTGAAGTTATTATTACAAGAAGGTATTATATATATCTGATTTGCCTCGTGGTATTTAAAGGTGATCCTGGGAATGGGATACACGGAGAACGTGGACATATGGTCCGTGGGCTGCATCATGGGAGAAATGATACGGGGCGGAGTACTCTTCCCTGGGACGGACCACATCGATCAATGGAATAAGATTATAGGTAAGATATTCATTTAATATATTTTTTTGAAGTGAAACTTCTTTAGGCGCATGATGGTAAAATGTTTACGGATGAAAATAATAATAATAGTAGCGTCACGAAGATGTGCAGCGTTTTTGTCGAAGAAAAGGGAGAGAGCGATTGAGACCGATTGAGAGAGAGTGAGAAGGGTGAGGTACCTTATAGAAATTCTATTTTTAAAATTAAAATTTCGTAAAGAGAATTTATGAAATATTAGTATTTTATATTTTATGCAAAATAATTTTTTTCTCAAATGACGAATTTTAAATTAAAATGCCACGTGTTTTTGTTATGGAAGTTGACTTTGACTTCGAAAGTAAAAGTCAAAATCATTTATTCATGTAGGTAACATAATGTACACTTATGATCGTCAAAAAAGAATACATTAAATGCTTCTAATTATTATTATCGAAGAAACAAATTAAAGAATTAATTTATAATTTGTATTAATTTTCGATACTTTTAATATTTTATTGACAATTAAATTCATGAAATTCCTAACATAGCTTCCTTTTTCCCTCCCTCTAAGTCTCGGAAATCTAAAGTTTTAGATTTATACAAATATGAACAAGACTTAAAAATTAGTTTGCCAAAAAAGTTACACTTCTGACATGTGTACTTTGTACGCACGTACTTTTTTTCATGATATATGTATTAAGACATTATATGAATAAAGAAATACACAAATGTTACTTATTTTCCTTTATCTCATTTCCCGCTCTGTCAAACTTCAATATAAAAGCCAATTATAATTTTAAATTGATTTAAAGCTTTCATATTTTAATTATATTGGTTATATGTAATCTAATTCTATTTTTAAATTCCTTTCAGAACAACTGGGCACGCCCTCCGCGGCATTCATGGCCCGTCTCCAGCCCACCGTACGCAACTACGTGGAGAACCGGCCCCGCTACGCCGGATATAGTTTCGAGCGATTATTCCCGGATATCCTGTTCCCGTCGGACAGTAGCGAGCATAACCGGTTGAAGGCGTCCCAGGCTCGCGATTTGCTCTCACGTATGCTCGTCATCGACCCGGAGAGACGCATTTCTGTGGACGAAGCGTTGTTACATCCATACATTAATGTCTGGTATGACGAGGGGGAAGTTAATGCGGTGAGTTTTGTATTTCATATGTTGCTATGTCTCCAATCGAGACAGATAATTGGACATACGATTTTGATATACTGGCTGATATAAAGGCTGTGGCATTACGCTCGCAAATATGATATGATAATATTTTTTTTAGCCAAACGTTTGAAAATTTTGCTTTGCGATCATGTTTCATACATGCTAAGACCAACCTTCTGAAAAGTCCACATGTGATCACTCTATTACATTGGATAACGAATTGCATAGGTTAACGTACCTTTTTTATTGTCCTTTGACTGAACTGACAAAAGTTCTACTATTTGTCATTGCCTACAGTAGTTAGTTAAATTTTTATTATGTAAATTTGTTTTTCCTAATTAATTTCTTACGTGAATGTCTCCGCAGCCCGCCCCCGCATCGTACGACCACTCGGTGGACGAGCGCGAGCACACGGTGGATCAGTGGAAGCAGCTCATCTACCACGAGGTGGTGGAGTACAACGCCCCGGCCCCCGCGACCCCCGCCGTCGCGCACCTGGCGTCCGCCGACCTGGCTCCGCCCGCCCACACCGCATAGGTGACGTTTCTTTCCCTCTCTCATTTTCAATCTGGGGTTTTAGTCAAGATGCCTCAATGGTCGTGTATGTAGAAAGTCGGAAACTAAATTTGTCGACACGAGCTGTCATTTTCATACAAATTAAGTCTTCGACTTTCTGTTAAGGCATCTTGACTAAACCCCCTGGCCTGTGTTTGAGCTAGATTAAAAAAACATTAGAACAGCGACATCTCTAGGTCTCCTCCCTTAATGAGTTTTGTCTGAACAGGTTTCAACTGAATGACCGCTGAGTAAGAGACGTGCAAGGACAATAGTCGAGTCTCAAATCCCTGTATATACTATTAACGTGTAATACGTTTGATAGAGTGCAAATGCGTCTAGGTTAGCTCAACTGGCTCCGGGCTCGTCTATTGTAGTCTTTTCCTCTTTTAATCTTAATACGTGCAGAAGGAAAGGAGTGCTCGTCTTGGTTTATATAATTATTTTAAAATACGCAATAAATTACTTAGAAGTAGACTTTAGTTACGTATAGAACGTGTAACGTCTAAGGGAGTAAAATTATTTTTGTTAGCGCAATTTTAAAGGCTTTTACAGGCTTTATACTAGAGTAAATGGTTTTATTATATAAATGTATTTCAATTTATTTGTATTATATCATTCTTCTTCATAAATCTTTGTAAAGGCAGGAAAGCTTACTCTGTAATTTAACTCACGGTGCAATATTTTGTTTAATTACTTAGAGATAATAATTAAAAGACGTTTAAAACTGTATTTTAACACACGTAAACAAATTAATATATATTTAAATGACAATTGACATTTGACATTTACTCTATTCATAGACAAAATAATCCATTGTAATCAAAATACTAACTTACGCTGAGATTTATATACCGTGCTCTTAACTTACTCTAAACTGTAGTGAGTTCTGAGTGCCAAGGTTTTAACGCTTTACAAATTTCCGCTTGGGTTAGTTTCAATTAAAAACTTTCCTTCTGCACTTGAATTCCGTGGTAAGTGATGTCTACTCGTAAACCTTTTTAGTTCCTATCCTTTCGAATTATTTTCATTTGCGTCGAACAGTGCCTTTTACTAGTGATTTTTCGAAATGGATGGACTGAATTTGAATGTTTTTTTTAATGAACCTAATTTGGGCTGATTGATTTATCGTTGTTATTTTATTGTGCAATCATTGTGTTAAAGTTGCAATACTCTCGAATTACTAACTGAATGAACTGCCGGTTCTTACGAAGTTTTGGTACAGTGCCATTCTATCCCGTATTTAGTATTGTGAGATGTATTGGAATATTGACGAGACATCCCTTAGGACATTTTTATATTAATTTGCGATTAGTCCTAAATATAGCACATATGTTTTTGTTGTTTATTTCGTTTCGTGAGATAGTCAGTCGGGATTTCGTGATGTTCATAGTTTTTCGTAAGTAGACCCTAGTTGAGTTGTTGACTGTATAAGTAGATGATTAAGTACATTCTTACCTAAGTAGTTCATTTAGGTCGCCTCGCACGTTGCTTTTTCAAATAACTCTAAATACGTAATTATCGTGAGCTCTGTTGAACGTATTTTATTTAGTTTCGACGATATTGTATCATTTAATTGTCATTTAATCGATTGTTATTCTGGTTATCGCCATAGACGTTGAGACAACGTGTGAGGGACACTGTAGGTTATTGTTTGAAACCTCACTAGGTGATATAATAATAAAAATAAGAGAAAATGGATGACGATGGTCACACTGGATGGTTTCATGAAATAGCACAATTTATTAGCTATAGATGCCAGGCGCTAAACGGTTGAGAAAGCAAAATAAGCAATAATGTTAATAAGTTATTCTTCCTCACTTAGCAGTTCGATATATTTGATTATCCGATTCATATCAGACGGTCGCAATAGATAGTTTGAGTTGGAATTCTTGTTCATGTTACTTTACTTTTGTTCCATAGAGAATCCAAAATGGCGGCGATCGCGAATACGAAAACGTTTTTAACGCATCGTTATTTATAGTATATCTTTAATGTAAAACGTATACAAAATGTTTAATTTAGAATGTAAATACGTGTTAAGGAATCTAGTAGGCTGAATGGAACGAAAGTGAAGAACATAGGTACTATCTATGGGGCATTCTGTTTAAAACTTAAAGATAAAGTTCACAACTGTACGTCCAAAATGTCCATTTATATGTTAAATGTACCTTATGCAAATTACAATAATGTAATCTTTAGATTGTATTTTAGTACGTGAGGTTTAAGGTTGTAGCGATGTTGACGCAGGCCGAGCGGCGCTTAGCGGTATTCTTTGAGTTACACGATGACTATCTAAAACAACTTATTTTTACTGTACACGTAAGTTATTTCATATTTTAACTGAATAAATTGAAATGGTTATTATAAAAGTGACTTTAATTTTATCATATCTATACCTATCCTATACCTTTGTTTCCTGTTTCCTTATAAAAATACGATTTCTCGACCTTGGGTATTATATATAATCTAAAAGTAAGATCGTGTCGGATACATCCGGCTATCAAACCCTGACAACTAGAAATATTATGCTACATTATATTGCGCTAAAAAGTTAATCCAGAATATAAGAACTTATTCAAAATCTGTTGTCTATTTTTATTCGTAGTAGCAACCCCCGCCCCGACTTCGCATAGGTTTAGTTACTACTACAGGTGTTCGTAAACTGACAAATTATATTTCTAAACCAATATAATGTTAGGCCTTTACCTATGAGATTGGAAAAACCACCACCTGGTTGTTGCAGAAATACGCATCGAGGTTGCGGTTGCGCGACCAGGCGGTGATCCTGGTAGGGCAGAAAAAAGATTTGACGGCTTGAACTTCGTAACCGCGTCATTTGGCGCCGTCTCATCAACATCGGAGCAAACAGAGCAGGCGTCACATTGCAAAACCCTCTTCGCTTTCTGTTGACTTCTGCGAGTCAAAGGGCTTAACTCTAATTTCAATGCTGTTCATAACCATCTTGAAACAACTAACTATTCAGCATCTTCTACCGCATTTATCATGGGGAGTGCTCTAAAGAATTCCTCATTGGACGTCGAGGCAGAATGCAAAATTCTATCCATTCCATCTAGACGGTTGGCGTTCCACATCACAGCGCTTTTTAAGCCACTTCTCTGTCGCGCAACACCTCTTTGTGGAACCAGCTATTATTTAGAGTAGAGGTAACCCGACTTAGAAGCCTTCAAGGTATCAAAGTTATCGGTTATCAAAGCCTGGTCGTTGGTTAAACTTTCCAATATGGACCATCGATATTTGAGGTTTTTTTTTGGGGGGGAGGATGGGAGCTGTACTCACCACAGTGGCATAACTTCTGTTGAGATTGAGATACATATTTACTCCTTTTTTCCTCCATTTTCTTCTTTTTAATGGGGCAATCCCTGGAGATTGCCAAATGATTGCCATTACAGTTAATACAAATAATTTCATCTACGTCACACTCCTTGTAGGAGTGCCGGCCGGAACATGACGAGCACATTTGCTCTCCGCGACAAACTCGAGCTGAGTGATTGAATTTGAAGCATTGCAGCAGTGGTGGAATATACATGTGGATCGGGTATCTAAACATCTGTATGTATGCATATTGGGGCAGCGTTGTGGCAGCAAAAGTCACTGAAATCGTGCCGAGCGGGACCAGTTTTCCGTCAAATTTTTTCATGAATCTTTTAACGGAAATCACTTCCGTGGCGCACATTATGTTCTTGTATATTTCCGCATTCGTTAGCGCCTTGGGCACATATCGTATGACGTCCGTCGCTTCAGTCAGGTGAGATGGAACAAAAGCTTTAAGCTTGTGTCTTCCTAAAAAACTGTCCATTTTTAGGAAATTATTAGCCGGAGCTGGTTTTTTAAAAGTGATGCCTATTTTGTGAGCATTCACTCGGTGTACTCCCACTATTCCTTTAACATTGTCTATCTAACTTTTCATTTTCTTGGGATTCCACATAAACCACACAATCCGTGCTGTGGTTGTCTGGAAATTGTCTTTTATAATTTGGTTTGGTGAACACGTTATAGTTTTCATTAGTCACCTCTAATTTTCTTTTCTTGGCATCTTTGTTACCGGGGGCCCGCCCCCCGGGGCTGTTTTCACTCATTATTCTCTACTATTCACAAAATGTTACAAATTTTCTATTTACAGAAAAAAGAAATACAAATATAATATACAAAAAAATTAATTATTGAAAAAACGCAAAATTTAAAACACCCGCTTAGTTTGACTTCCCGCCAAAAAGTCTAAACAATTGTACACAGTCAGTGAAGCTAACTTGGGGATTCCTTCCCTAAATTTAGGGGGAATCGAGATATTCAGGGGGATTTTTAAGTGATCAATTTTTTTATTTCTTTATAAAACGCACTATTCCAATTTCCATACAATTTATACGATGCCACGAACCAAACGAATAAACTAAATGAAATAAACTCCAAGCATGGCTATAACTGAAACATCAAAGAGCTATAATAGATACTCTAAGATCGAAATAACAGCTATTTTTCACTACTTGAATTTATTTCATTCATATTTTAAATTACCTCTCAAACCGCACTCGGTACGACCAAAACTTTAGGGTATTTTATCGATTTTTACGGGTATTTGAAGTTGGTCCTAGGGGGAACATTGAACATTCTGTAGGAGTTTGCATTAATTTCATTTGTCATTTGTCATATTGTATTTTGTCGACATTCGACATTAGCATAAAAAGTAAAGACGGCAGTATTAAATTGTATATTTGTTTATTATTAATAGTTTTATTTTTTCAACGCTTGAAAGAAAGTTATTGAAGTATTTTGGTATGTTACTGTAAGACAAAAGCACATAATATTTTCTTAAAATGTCGGAGAAGGATAAAGCGAAAGGGAATACCCAAACAAAACACATTCCAAAAGATGCCCATGTAATAATGTCTATTATGAAAGAAGTGGGCATCACGGACTATGAACCCCGTGTTGTAAACCAGTTGCTAGAATTTACCTATAGATACGTTACATCTGTGTTAGATGACGCTCGAGTATTCGCGAATCACGCGAGGAAGAAAACAATAGACCTCGATGATGTCAGGTTAGCGGTGCAGATGCAGTTAGATAAATCATTTACAAGCCCTCCACCAAGGGAAGTCCTACTAGAATTGGCTAGAGTAAAAAATGTGAATCCACTTCCTTTGATTAAACCACACTGTGGGCTAAGATTACCACCTGATCGGTAAGAATAATATATTGCTGTTCCATTTTTAATATTATACGTAATTCGCTGATAACAATTAGTGTTATATGTTAATTATATTCTCACAAAGAGAAACACAATATGCATGTCTGTTTTATTTTACAGTTACTGTCTCTCAGCATGTAACTATCGCTTGAAATCTGTTCAATCAAAGAAAGCGACATCAAAACCAGTTGTCTCTGCTCCAATCAAGACAATCACATCATCAAAGTCAAGCAGTCAAAATGTTGTTATGAAGAGATCTCAAGGACCTATTAATGTTAGTTCTAAAGGAAATGTGGCCCCTAAGCCAGTTCTAAAATTCACTTCTGGAAGTAAGGTAAATAATTATTTTTTATTTTAATAGTTAATATCATGAAGTAAAGTACCCTTATAATTTTGTTCTATCTAGACATAGACAAATAACATTTATTACTAACAAAATAACAATAATCAAAGAAAAAAATAAAAAATATAATGAGAGATATAAAAAAAAAATGTCTAGTGTTATCATACTTTTATATATTATATTAATTATTTGTCATAATAGGTTGTTGCAAAACCAGCAGTGCGGGTGACATCAGGCCCTCCACAACAAAATCCAGTTAAAATGGAGATAGATGAAGTCTCCCACAAAAGGAAAAGGGATGATGATGACTATGACATGTAACATTTAATTTTTAAGGTGAATTCATAAGTTCTATTTGTAATTTTTAGTAAATAAATCAGTTCAGTTAATATGTTCATTAATGTAAAATGATAAGTTTTTGTATCAGACTGCTATAAAAAATAAAATCTTACAAGTGGGGAAAATAATTTATGAACTATTATTAAAAAGCATCAATCAATATAATACAAAAATATATTTCTTAACTAAAACTTAAATTTTCATGTAGACTTATAGGTTATTAAAAAACAGTAAATATAAACACTGTTAATGAAAATATGTTATAAAAATATAGGCTAAAACCACTTTTTAAAATTCTTGTGATTTTTGTATTACAATTCAAAGATATTATGTTTATTTCTTTTCATACTTATAGAATCCCTCACCACTCTTAACACCGAGCTTTCCTTCAGCAACTAATTTATTAAGGGTAGGAATAGGACGGAATAGTGGTTGATCAGGGTATTTCTTGGACCACCCATCAAGTATGAACTTGGTTGTATCAAGTCCAACATAGTCTGCTAATTCCATGGGGCCCATTGGGTATGCTGCACCCAGTTTCATTGCTATGTCAATGTCTCGTGCAGAAGCATCACCTGAATAGATTAAAAAAAACAATTTGTCATGAAATTAATGAGAATTTTTAATGAGGATTTTCAAAAATCATCCTTTTTTTTATGATAACAATTTCCTTGTAGCAATTTGCACCAACCTCTTTCTAACAACCTTATGGCCTCAGCAATGTAGGGAACTAGCAGTCTGTTCACAATAAAGCCGGGTGTGTCCTTACACGACACACAAGTCTTGCCAACAGACTTGCCCCATTCCATCATAGTACTGAAGGTGATGTCTGTTGTGTCCATACCACGCACTACTTCTAGGAGACGCATTATGGGCACAGGGTTAAAAAAATGAAGACCACCAAACCTATAAAGTTTATCGAATTAGTATATACTCAAACAATGTAATATTGAAGGTGTTTTAACTACTATAACATAAATTTTATTTCACTTACTTATCTTTCCTCTTCACAACAGATGCAATTTCATTAATAGAAAGTGATGATGTGTTTGAAGCAAATATTGTGTGGGCAGGTGCTGCCTGCAAGTACATCAAAATGATAAATAAAACTTAACCTTAAATTAAAGTGTGTATCAACTGCATCATTTTCCGTTGATACACAGACTGATTTCTGACTTGTTTTAATGGTAATTATATACATACATTATCAAGTTTTTGAAAGAGGGAATGTTTTACTTCAAGGTTTTCAACAATTGCTTCAATAACTAAATCAGTTTCTTTAACAGCACTGACTGGATCTGTAGATGTCTTAATGCGAGCAAAAGCCTCTTTTGCAAATTTTTCAGCTTCCTGAGGGTTGTCTTTGTGAATCTTTTTAGAAATTTTGATTAAGCTGTTACTGATGGATTTCTGTGATTTTGCAAGAACATCAGAATTCACATCCACTAATGTTACATCTTGTCCAGCCTGAGCAGTCACCTGTAATTAAATGTTGTATAAAAATTGGTTAACCAATTTTGCATTGGTTTTTATCTGGGCCTGTAGATACTAGCTCGAAAAACAAAGATAAGAAGGCAACTGTTCTATATTCAGTGAGACCACATAAATTGCAATAAGGTTATAGACCTACAATAGGTTCAATGTATAAACCTTCTTACAATTTTGAATTATACTATATATGTATATTATATACCTGTGCAATTCCAGATCCCATAAGACCACCTCCAATAATAGTTACATTTTTTATGGCACTTTGGACTGTGGAGGAACTTGAAAACTTTCTACTAATTATTCCAAATTGTATCATTGCGTATTATTAGTATATTTATTTATTAGCAAAAAAGTCACCGTAAGTAATATTGTTTGCAGTCAATGATATCAAAGTAAAGAATGATTCCAAAGTTAAAATTTTTGCAAAGTGGCAAGTGTTGCCAACTCTAATCTCCAACATATTACTGAATACTAATCTTAGATTAGTAATCTGTGCACACTGAACTTAAAACTTGTAAAGTGCCCAACGTATTTACTATTATGAACTTTAATTATGTTTAGCAGAAATGACTTGAGTTTGGTTGGAACGCTTTTTAACTCTTATACAAATGAGCCATTAGGCTCTGTAATTTTGAAGTTCATGTCCGTATCAATTAAATATTGTTCTATTATGATTATTATACTACTGTTACAAGTAGCGGCACGAAACTCTAGCGCTGACCGTTATTGCGCAGAAGTAAAAAATAAGGTACCTGAGGGGGGCTAGCGGGCGCGCGTAGCGTCGATTGGCTCTCCAGTCGCATTCCGTCCCCCGCGCGACAGTACACATGCGCAGCAATCCCCTCCACGTATCAGCCAGCGCTAGACTTACGTGCCGCTGCCTATATATTATGTTATATAATGATTATTTCATTAACAAAATTGTTTTCTTGACATAGTATCTAAACAAAAGATCCGCGAAGACAATAGAGTTTCCGATGCCGGTGGCGCCTGGTTTTGTGATTCCACGTGCAGCGGCTTAGGCGGCTCGCCGCTCGAGTTTTATTTGTGGTTGTTTCTAGGAACCCGGTGCCTGCATCTCGGCTACAGTATACTACTATCGTAACCAGTTTATACAACTTGTAGTTATCCTGGTCGATACGATAATTTGGATCCATAATAACCAATACACGGCCCTGGTACGATAGCTGCCAACGTTCAAGTTGTGAACTCTGAATCCATTATCCAATCTATTTCAATCCGCTGTTAAAGTTTGTTTGGCACAAGTCACAACTCACAACAAACAATAATTGCTCGGAACAAATATTAACCGATCACTGCGACAGGCACAATCTATCTATCTATTGCCTAATGCCTTTATCTTTCTCAGAGATATTCAAATGTGTATAATATGCTTTCGCACTCTAGAAGTCTAGAATCATATCCTTTCATCTATAGGTAGCACCTAAATAACGTAAATTAAATATTTGTTAAATCTGTTCAGATGATTTGTATAAAAGTTTTGCATGGCAACCTCAAAGTTGTTTATTATAACTTGTGAATAACAACGAAAACTTTGATTATTTTTGAATGAGTATGAGGTGAAATAAGAAATTGTGAATATGTATCTAATATTTTTGTGATATTTTGTAATAATGGCGGGTAGGTACAACCACATCTATATTTAAAATGTTTTATTCTTGATTGCAAACCTGTTTGTTACCTTATTATCGTTTATTTAAATTATCGGTGTGATACAGGTAACTGATAACGGAATAGTGTAATAGTTAATACTGTTGCCCAATAGATTTACGGCGGGGCCACCGTTTTTTCTCTCAAGTCTCACTTGTTGCCGTTGTTGGTTATCGCGTCATATTAAGGTAGGCGTTTAAAGGGTAAACACGTTGTTATTAAAATGAACAAATTAATTGGCTTCACTAGGAGTTTTTCCAGTTCCAATTCATTAAATGCCATTAAAACGGTTACGGTTATTGGTGGAGGGCTCATGGGAAGTGGGATTGCCCAGGTAAGTTTTATTTTATATTAATTAATCTAAATAGTTATATAAATTTCTCGGTATGTGACCTACTATACCCTACCAATAAACTTTCTTAGATAGTATATAATTTACTTTTTGATATTTTGTGCTGTTTTATATATATATCTTATCTATAAAGAATGAATAAAGTTTTCTTAGATTTCAGCCCAGGCAGGACAAAATGTAACAATAGTAGATTTAAATTCGGAAACCTTACAAAAAGCCCTTAAATCAATTGAAAATAATTTGACAAGAGTTGCCAAGAAAGTTCATAAGGATGATGTGGCTAAAATTGACAGTTTTGTGAAGGATTCCCTAGCTAGAATAAAAACATCCATTAAGATTGAAGATGGGGTAAACTCTGATTTGATTATTGAAGCTGTAGTAGAACAATTGGATGTGAAACAACAGCTTTTTAATAAATTAGATGAGGTAAGATATTTTAAATCAATATTGATTGAAGAAAATTATAACCACATACAAAAAATATATATTATTTTTTATTACTATTTCAGCTAGCTCCACAGCATACAATCTTGACAAGTAATACATCATCAATTCCTATCAAAGCAATTGGTTCTGGAATTAAAAGGAAGGATAGGTAGGTTTCTGCTGTATTCTCAATTCTCATGTATTTTAATCCACTTTTTTATATTTATTTATAAGTAATCTTACAGCTAACATACATATTATAAAACAAAACACTTAGACAGTACAGAAAGCCAAAACAGATAACATGGATAAACAATATATACAAAACAGAAAACAAACACTTTAGTCCCTTATTTTGGTTTAACTACATCTTTAAAATATCTAGACTTGGCGGCCTTCATTTCTTCAACCCTGTGCCAGTTATGCGTCTCATTGAGGTGATCAAAGGTGACGACATGTCAGAAGAAACTCACCAAACCTTAATGGAATGGGGCAAGTCTGTGGGCAAGACTTGTATCACCTGTAAAGATAGACCTGGATTTGTGGTTAACAGATTATTAGGACCCTACAGTGCCGAGGCTTTAAGAATGTATGAAAGAGGTAAGTAAAACCTTTGCTACAAAAATAAATGAGAAATTCTAGTTATCTGCATGCATGCATGTATGCATGGTTTTGAAATAGTGGTCTGTGGGATATTTTAAAGGTAAATTGAATCATTTTCGGATGGTTATGTAATACTTTTATTTTTTATTTTTTTTTATATATTCACAATGAAATTTTCCTAAAGTCCTTCAATTTAATAAACCAAATATAGTTTTGAAGTCGACCTTATAATATTGCTAAACTCATTAAATTATACATAATATAACTATTATCATTAATATTCTTATTTGAAAAGAGTGAGTTAATTAGTATTTTGTAATTTATTTCAATCCTAGTTTTTTGGCATTCAAGTAAATTTTACATGAAGATTATGTTCATGAGTCAACTTGTTGCTTAATATTCTGCTTTGGGTTTACCTGCCAACCATACATAGTTATTAATAAATTTTTCTTTATTGGTACATTATAAACCAAAATTTCAAACCTTAAGAATGGTGCACTACTCGGGTACAAAAAAACTACGCTAGCAGTGAATGCTCTTTTTAGCTTCTGATTTAATTTTGGGTGAAGTTATTTAAGTCACCATATTTATAGTATTTTCTGGGTTTGGGTTTTTGGATAAATAAAATATGTATTAATGCTTTATGTTCTTAAAATGTAACAGAGAGGTAAGTGCTTTATTATCAAATATTTTTTTTAGCTGGTAAAGATTAAAACATTGTTTTCAATCCTTTATAAACTAAAGCATTTCAATCAATTAATATGTTATTTATTTCTAAAACCTTTTAAAAATTTATCACTCCTTAAAATTTTAAAATGAAAATTTTGTAATGCTATTTGATATTATCATGTGTATGTCAGTTTAATGAACTTGCGTCACACAAGTTACTGATTAAATTAGAATCAAATGAGACATCAATGGATGAATATATACATGTGGTTGTATTATAACGGTTAAAGAAAAATGACAGTGTTTGGCCGGAGGATGGCCTTCATATCATTCTTTCCCATTTTAAACAATAATAATCAGTGGAGCTACAACCTCTTTAGGTCTGGGCCTCAGATTTCTGAATCGGTTTCATGATCATTTTTCAACCTATTACGCAAGTAGGTGATCAACATCCAGTGCCTGACACGCGCCGTCCACTTTTTGGGTCGGTTTCCTCACGATGTTTTCCTTCACGGTTCGAGCGAATGTTAAATGCGCACATAGAAAGAAAGTCCATTGGTGCACAGCCGGGGATCGAACCTACGACCTCAGGGATGAGGACGCACGCTGAAGCCAACTCTGCTCACCCCCATTTTAAACAACGTTTTCTAAAACAATTTGATACCTAGATTTGATTATCGACCTACTACAACGATTATAATCATAATATATTAAACAAATATTTCTTTAGCAAATTATGTTGATATTCTTTGGACTTAATATTCGATTGAATACCAAATAGAGGCATCTAAAATATTTTTATTCGCCCATGAGAAGTCACATACATTATTGTTTGGTATACGTCAAAATCTAAATGTATTTATTGCTGTTGGTACCTATGTACTATTATTAAAAAATATGCTTATAATTGACTAATCATTATAATCAGGTGACGCCTCGATGGAAGATATAGACATTGGCATGAAGCTTGGTGCAGGTTACCCGATGGGACCTTTTGAATTGTGCGACTACACGGGACTGGATACCAACAAACACGTCATGAGTGTCCTTTACGAGATGACCAAGGAGGAAGTCTTCAGACCCGTTGCACTGTTAGACAAAAAGGTGGCTGAAGGAAAGCTTGGCGTGAAGTCCGGAGAGGGATTTTATAAATATAAAAAATAATTTCGATCAATACAATACGTATTATGTTGTTAAACGGATAAAGGGTATCTATAAGTGAATGCATTTTGTTAAATATATATATTTTTTATGAATTTTATATTAAAGTCTTATTCTACTGTTTATGATTTTTAATATAATTCTGAATTCACCTTATATTTGGAAAGATAAAAATGTTTATCTCGTATATAATATTTTATCGAATATCCATTGGGAACAAGATAAGGTATAAGTGCCTTGAAGCTTAATGTTTTTGTAAAAACAATTATTTGTTTTACTTTGGAGAAAGTAAACGCTTATGATGCTTATTGTATCGTAATCCTATTGAACAAATGGAATAATATTGTTATAATTAAACAGTTTTGCTAATTATTAGTTAAGTTTCACGCAATAATTGTCTCGGAAGCATATAAAATCTTATGAATTATCTAAATATACATAAAGTAGGTAGGTATCTAAAATTATTATAATTAACTAATTATTTACATTAGCGGGCAATTTAAATCGACAAAACAAATATCTATACATATTAAATGGTATTGAAATATGCGCTCAAACATTACATATGAAATTGGCGTTTTGTATCTATGGCAGGAGGAAAAATATATTTAAAAAAAATAGAATATATTTAATTAATCAAAGTATTTAATTATATTATTTTAGATATCATTGCTATCTATGCACTTTCGCCATCTTATAGGTTTGATCCCTTTACTAAAAACAACATTCGGACGGGATATAATAAAATCTTTGAAGGCGGTTTCGACTGCTCAATCAGAGTTGGTTTTTTTTCTTTGCAAGATGTATCCAAATTACGAAAAAAATGGTAATCTCTTGGAGGAAGGTCCGGAGAGTATGGTGGATGTCTTAGAAATTCCAATTGAAGCTTCTCAAATTTGGTAGTAGTCTGTTGTGCAGTGTGTGGTCTAGCGCTGTCGTGAAGCAGCAGTGACATAGAGCGATTGACCAGCCTTGGTTATTTAGCAGCTAGCTTTTCCATGATGGTTGGCAGTTGCTGACAAAAGACATCTGCCGTAATCGTCTGGCCAGATTTAAGAAAGTTATAGTGAACGACCCCGGCACTAGTCCACTAAAAACTCACAAGTAACTTTTTCGGAGTCAATTTTCGTTTGTAATAATTAAAACGGAAAAATGTAATTAATCATGGTTTTCGAAAATCAAATGCACAAGTAAACAGCTGTATATTAATTGAATTTGAAATTCCTAACCATAGAGGAGATATTTGAGGTCAAAGTGGCCTGTACAACAAAACGTCAATTTCATATCTAAGGACCTAATATTTATTAAACAACACAAACTTTCTGCGTCTCTCAATCCTGAGGTTCCAACCCCGGCTGTGCACTACTGGACTTTCTGCCAATTTGCGCATTTAACATTCGCTCGAACGGTGAAGAAAAACTGGGAGGAAACCGGCTTGCCCAAAAAGTCGACGGCGTGTGTCTGGCACAGGAAGCTGTGACAGTGAAATAGATACAGAAATTTGAGGCCCAGACCTAAAAAGGTTGTAGCGCCACTGAATAATTTTATATGGGCACGAGGATTTGCATGAGGTACAGAAGGCTCCTACATATAAATTTCCCAGCAGATAATGATTTGTCATTTGTAATAACAATCATATTGTAGCATAAATTGTCTTTCAGGCGATGCGTCAGCTAAGGACATCGATGTTGCGATGAAATTAGGGGCCGGAATTCCTATGGGTCCACTAGAACTGGCTGATTTTACTGGTCTCGATACAAAACAGGCTATTTTAAATGTAATGCTGCAGACTACTGGTGACCCCGTATTTAAACCTATTCCCTTGTTGGACAAGATGGTCAAAGAAGGGAAATATGGAAGAAAGACTGGGGAGGGTATTTATAATTATTAATTGAAACATTATTTATAAAACTTAAGACATTTTTAGTAAAATAAATACCTAAAATTGCCCAATATACAAATACTTATGTAATAAATTTTATACCAAGTGGTTTTTTCTAATTAATATATTATTAAAGGGTATTCACAAGCACTTTTATTTTATTTGTATTAAACTAAAAGATACTTTAAGGCTGTCATCACAATTTGAACGACAGACAAATTATTTTTTTAGTGAAAATAGTGCAATTACTAATTTACTTTATAAATAAGGGGGTTAAACGAAACGTAATTTTAACTAAACCAAATGAATACCCAATGCGATTTTATTGCGTCTATACTTAAAGAATTATCCAATTTCATGTTAATAACACTTTAGTTAGAAGTCGTTTTGAAACTAAATTTTTATACTCGACTATGAGAATAAAATAAAAAATTCCCCTTGAATCTGCTAAGCAAATAATATTATAGATAAAACATGAAATTCCATGAAGACATTGTCGTAAATGCGAATATGGTATTATAAAACCGATATCTATTGATTTCCGAGTTGATAAGATTGTGATTCTCACTGGGAATCTCAAGTCAGTTGAATATTAAAGTCGCGATTTGAGTGTTTTTTTTATTTTGAAAAGGTATTTACAGGTGTTTTTAATCAAAATGTAGATAAATTCATCAGTGTTTTAACTAGTGATTTATATATTTACACTATAGTCAGTACTATTGGTCTAAGATCCCGCTATACAACGACCTTCACCGAGATGCTTATTTAATGAAACTTATTTTATATATAATTTAATATGTCAATAAATATAATCCATATGGGTTGCCTAGCAAATTTCAGTCCAGAGTATGTTTAATTAATTTAAAAAAAAAAATATTTTTTTAAACATTTCACCGGTATGATTATTAGATAAATTCTATACCAATCGAACGTATGAAGCCCATAGAATATGCAAACGTTAGGTTGTTTTTAATCAATTAATTATTTATGTGTATATTTTTTATGTGACACTAAAGTATATATACATCTTTAGTATAAAAGAAGGTTATAGTGATACATATATAATACTACCCTGTTTAAAAATATTGATTGAAAAAAGTTCAAAAAATTTACTACATGCAAATTATAAAAAAAAAATTTTTTTTTAATATTAATTAAACATACTCTGGACTGAAATTTGCTAGGCAACCCATATGGATTATATTTATTGACATATTAAATTAAATATAAAATAAGTTTCATTAAATAAGCATCTCGGTGAAGGTCGTTGTATAGCGGGATCTTATACTATATAAACATTGTACTGCGTAAACTCAGCTAAAACAGCCGTCTGGCTGACAAGAGACATTTCTGACTTTTTTCATAATTAGCGGAAGATATATCTCAACTTCGTTAGGTGATAGTCATGTAAATATGACTATTATGTAAATAAAATAGTATAAATAATCAAATCTAACAATACATAAGAGTGCAAAATAGTACTATGATAGCGATTAAGATATACATAGAGTAAGTGCCTTCTGTATTTTATGCAGGACCGGTTTGAAATGTGTTCGGCTTTTATTAATTTTCTATAGGTCGAGCGCCCTAGGCATATGGAAGTACTTATTTTGTATTTAATATAAAAGCCATTGTTGTATAGTTTTTCAGTCTGTTAAAAGGTGGGAATCTTTAATTTCACCGAAACAATGTTCAATGTTCATAAGCGTTTTTACGTTGGGTTCGCTTAATAGAATATAATAAAATTAATAAAAAATCGTTTTACATCGTATCATTACAACACACAATTTCAAACTAAATTGATGTGGGACCAAACGGGTTACTTAGCTAATAAACCAAAATCAATATATTCATAAAATATGATTGAAAATATAATGCGGCAATCAAAAGTTAAGAAAAATTGTTAAAGAATTACACCGTACGCATCTTTCGTTATTTGTGTAAATTTAACTTGAGAAAAAGAAACGGCTCAAATCTCTTTGGAGTTGACTCTTGGGCTGTGGGGTTCAAATGCACAGGCGCTAATTACAGACTTAAGTTGGCGCCTGGTACGAGTACCTGGTAGGTAGTACCGGTAGGTAGTACCGGTGACCCCAGAGCTGGTGCTTTCCTCGTTCAACGAATAAGTATCGCAATATAGCGAGGAAATACTGCCAGCGTTAGAGGTACACTGCACAGGGACCAAACTTTTTAAATTTGTTTTAATTTTCTATTTATTAATTTATAATTATTATTATCTAGGTTAAGAACATTGTAAATACTGTGTACTATTTGTGTTTTGCAAACAATAAACTAAAAGAAAAAGTATAATGTGGGTAATATGGGTTTTAGGTAATTATATATATATATAATATATAAGTATTTTATGAACCGCATAAATATTATCCTCATCGGTAATCTACCATGTCCTGTTGTGACGTTTTGGTCAATTTTATGCAAATATTTCCTTTCATAAGTCAGTTATTTGTAATCTTCAATGAGTACAGCATTGTTAAATTAAATTTGTAAATGAGGGTAGTTACCTAAAGAGCTATTGCCACTGTAAATATTTGCCAATTGTATTGTTAAAGGTTGCCGGATAAATGAGTGATGTTCCGCGAAAGACGAAAGAAAGAAAACCTCGCCGCCAGAGGTCCATCTATCAGGTTGGTACATTATTATTACTTATGGACTTTACTGTCCACAAACAATACTTATTACTTAAAGTTAACTGCTTACTTTACTTAATTATAAGTATTTAAAAACTTACAGTTGATAACATACGTTTATATAGCTTTTGATTTAGTCCAGAGAAAACTGGTGTAACTTAATTTGTTGTATTTTTGTTATCTTACACATCCTATATGTAAACTGAAAATAACTTAATTCATATAAAATAAAATACGTTTATTATGGAACATAAAATACAGGTATCACTTATTCCACGTCATTAAATTTGTATCGGTAGACATCCATACTCATCGGCATAGAAGACAGGGTGTAGGCCGAGAGAAAAAGCCGGCGTAAAAAACTCTCGGTTTACTTGTGAACGTCAGAAAAGAAGTTAAATTAATTCTAAATTTACAAAACGTATCAATAGGGAGCTATTTAACAGATAGACAAGTCCTTTTATTAATTTGTAAGTCACAAAAAATTAAATTCTATACATATTAAAAATTCATTCATAAACAAAAAGTCACGGTATAATATATATCATAATTAGCTATGATATATGTACACTTAAAATTCAAGAAGGTCAATCCCATCTAAAGTGCTTATTTGTGATGTTATTAACCTTGCAAAGGTAATACAATTTTGAAGTGTTGCTCACTTGCAAATTTTTTTTTAAGTAGGCAACGGGTTACATTTAATTTTAGAATTATTTTTAATTTATTTTTATTGCTTACAACATTAGTAAGACATAGGTTCATTTAAGGCAGTGGTTGAACCGGCATCTCCTGGACAAAAGGTCTCATCTCACTTAACATCAGTTGGGATTGCCACACGTCGGTCCAGTTCTGTATAAAAAAGTGCGTGCGTACAAAGTACACAATAATATGTCAGAAGTGAAACTTGTTTGGCAAACAAATTTTTAACTCTTGTTCATATTCCGAGACTTAGAGGGAGGGAAAAAGGATGATATGTTATGAATGTAATTGTTATTAAAATATTAAGTGTCGAAAATTAATACAAATTATATTTTTTTTTATCTTAAATTATATTTTTCTTTTATTCTTCTATCTTGTATTCCAGGTCCATTATAGTCTCCCTGCTTGCACCAAGATGACAGCTAAGCCCCTTTCGTTGCCTTACGATTCCCTGGAAGTCCACAAATATGGTCGACAAGTCGCTGGTCACACCAGCACTGATGTTAGCACCAAGTACTTAGGTGTGTTGGTATATTAGACATTTTTGTGATCTTTTGATGTTAGGTTTTCATCCTGTATGTAGGTTCAAGCCATTTATTAATATTACAAATGAGATTGCCACGCATTATATGTTGTAGAAAGTAAGGAAAAAATATTCTAGCCACATCACATAACATGCTTAACTTTTTTTTTTTTTTTTAAATTTATTTATTAGCCGGATACAAAGTCCATTGGCACCTTAACTTTTTAAGAAACCAGGTGTTACCAGTTGCGCTATAACTTTTTAAATCTGGGTCTCAGATATCAGTTTCATGATTATTTGTCAATCGAATAGGCAAGTAGGTGATCAGCCTCCTGTGCCTGACACACGCCGTCTGCTTTTGGGTCTAAAGCAAGCCGGTTTCCTCACGATGTTTTCCTTCACCGTTCGAGCTAATGTCTATTGGCGAACAGCCTGGATCGAACCTACGACCTCGGGGATGAGAGCACAGCTCATAGGAGAGACACTGCTCAAGAAAACAGGTGTACGTAAGATATTTCCAATCATAACTTTTTACAGGGCTTCTCCAATGCAATAACGGAACTATTCTAAAACCGATTCTCAAGGATTCACAAACACGTGAAGTGGACTTCTACACAAAGTTGTTCTCATCGAACGAAAAAGATTTGGTTGAACTCAGGGAATTTGTGCCAAAATACTACGGATGCAAGAAATTCACTTATAATGGATTTGAACAGGAATATATTATTCTCGATGATCTCACGGAAAGGATGCTGGAGCCGTGCATCATGGATGTTAAGATTGGTAAGTTTTAAGCTCGGGTTTATGACATATACATAACACAGTAGCGATATTGTGTATATTATGTGTTTAATACTATATAAGTACTTTATTATATTGTATTTAATGTTTCTCGACATTATCGTATTGGCATAGTCTGTAAGGATAATGTATGTATTTCTGTAATAAAAAAAAAATAACAGCTATTTGTTTCGAGTAGGTACTTCTCAGCAACTACTGACAACGAGAGCTTTTGATAATAAAATATTCGGTTATTTCAGTTTTCAATAATAAAGGATATGCAGTAATAAAGAACATTAATGACATCATCTAACCCTCGCGATCGATCGAAGAACTTTCGAAAACAGTTGATTTTTGCAGGTAAACAAACGTGGGACCCCACAGCTTCCCAAGAAAAAATAGCAAGAGAGAAAAGCAAGTACAAGAAGTGCAAAGAGGAGTGGGGCTTCTGCATCCCAGGGTACCAGGTGTACAGGGTGGACAGCGGAGCCCTGCTCAAGTACGGGAAGGACTACGGGAAAAAACTGCATGGACACGTTGTCACTGCAGGTTAGACTTTGGTTTATTTATTAATTTAAGTTTTAATTGGGAGCGTTTAAGTATTACGTAACGCAATTTTTGGAGATTATTGACAACCTATTGGTATTATTTCCATTTTTCGTAATTGTTTCTTGAATTGGTATGGCGAATGGAAAAAATATATGGTGGAGTTGAGTAGTTTATGTATCCATTTTGAAAGATTGATACATGATTTAAATAACTTCGCTCGATAGAAAAAAAATCCAATATAGCCAATTTTTGACTGTTTGAATTCATTTTATAACGAAAATGTATATAGAACATGATTTTGAAATTTACACGATATATTTTATCGCAAGCCAAGTAATTCATTTCAGAAAAAAAAAGATATAATTACGTTAATTTAATCTTTACATAACTAATTGTTATTACGGGCCGGCCTCAGTGCTCCAGCTCTCCACTGCGCCCCGCAGTCCACCCCGAGGCACTGACGCAGCAATTCGTGCTGGGATAGGGCCTGAAAGAAAATAAATGAACACGAAACAAAGAAATCTGAGCAGACTCGTGTTATTGATGAATAAAAAAAAATGTTTCCTTTGATAGCCATCAAGAACTACTTGAACGGCCTGGGTGGTCGCCTCTGCCGCGCCTTGGTCTTGCAATTCCTGTCCCGTCTCTGGGCCTTGCAGAGATGGTGCTCGAGGCAGACCTCGTTGAGGCTCTACTCGACTTCCTTGTTGCTCGCATATGATGCCGCTAAACTCAGGAGTTGCTGTGGGGAAACTGCCAGCTTTGACGGGTCAGTATCTTTTAACTAATAAAGTAAAGAAATATTTTTAAAGATTCCAGTTAAGCTGATCAAAATCTTTTCAAATATGAAATAATTTTGACTGAAATTTGTAAACAAAATTTATTAATTTTGTAACATTTTTAATTTTGCTTACAATTTACAGGAAAAAAGAGAAATGCCGCCCAGTCCCTCCGACGCGTCGTAGGTCTATTCACTCTTTGCACAGTCCCCTGAGCGGGTCCAACTTCAGCGGGCTGTTGTCCCCCACGGGGCCCGTATACAAAACGCTCAGTCCCACGCGCCTCACAATTCCTAAGCCTCTCTCCCCTCCCCCGGTCACGTCTCCCTGGACCGAAGCCCTCGACAAGTTGAACCACAATCATTCCTTCGAACACAATTACGAAGAGAAGCTTTGCAAGATTAAAATGAACTATCGAGCTGTTCTCGACCAATTGAGTCAAGATTCCCCGACCCCCAACCTTTGGGGAACCGTCAAGGTCATAGACTTCGCCCACGCCTTCTTCTCCGAAGAAGACGAGAGAGCCGTAGACGACAACTTCAAGGAGGGCGTCGACAGTTTTGTGGGAATTTTTGAAGCCTTGCTGAGTGAAACGGACGATCAAGTGTTTTGAATAATACGAGATCTTATTTTGTATATTGTATTCAATGTATTTTATAAATTTGTGGCACTTCCTGAAATAGGTAATTAATGAGGTTTAAATTCATTAAAAGAAAATACCACAAATTTATTTGATCCTACTTTGACATATTAAAAATGTGCCAAATACTTTTATAATATCTTATATTTTAGCTAAAAAGTTAAGTATTCATTATAATTGGAATTTATCAAAACTGAATGTTTTTTTTTATTAGAATAATTTATTCCTTAAACCCAAGAAATTCTATGTTACATGTATTATTCAAGAAATACTAAAACTAATGTCAAATGTTTGTGATACTCTAGTTTCTAAAATTTTCTTTAAAATAAAACACATCCGCAATAATTGTTTTTGTTTTTTTTTCATTAAGACGAATTGGTTCTGAAATACTTCATTGGGCAGCTGATTCCGATTGGTGCGGTCTGGCCTTGACGTCCGAAGATGAAACTACTGAGTTTCACATTTACATCGAAGGGTTAAATTCTTCACAACTAAAGCACTCTTCTACGTGTAGTAATGGGCATGAACAGTAGTGCTTTTGAATCACTTGCCAGGTGCCACTTAATTTTTGGCTTTTGGATTAAATAGGCATTCATATTTTTCTACTCATCACTACAAACTTCAATTGAAGTTTTGATCACGAAATTTCGAAGAATGCGTGCGTCTTGTTAAAATCTCAGAAGTAATGTGTGCGTTACGTTGTGCAGTAAGGGTTGAATTTGTAATGTTCAGACGCTTCGATGCGCTAGTATAAATTGAGCCTTAGGGTGAAACACTTCAACTCGCTAAGGTCTGTGTAGCCTGTAACTGTTATATCTGGTGCTCCACTTCAAGATTGTTTAAATAAAACAAAGCTTCGCTTTCGCATTATATATTTTTAAATCAGCCAAAATTATTCTCCCAAATAAATGAATCTATAAACTTAAAAATACGGTCTAGTACGAAAATGTGGTGTATCGGCTCCGAACAATCGGTATATTCTGTCCGGCAGTTTAACATTTCAGTCAAAAAACAATCATTTCTTAAAGACGAAACGATTTATCAAAAATTTATAATGAGTCATTCTTATGATTTTCGTTAAACACTGTTTAGAACACGATACGAGATGGATGACATACAATGTGTTAACATTGAGAATTTTATACGCTTACACAAAATACATACGAAAAATTAACATTCTAAAAATCAAATTAGAAATAAAAGACGACACGAGTGATTCCTTTTTCAAAAAAAGCGAACATTCCAAATTCGAAAAGCGCTCAAAGGAAAATGAAGAAATATTAATCTGTGACATTTCAGTGAAACAAAGGGACACGGGCAACTCTATTCGTGAATAGTCTACGTCGGGACAGACGTCACAAACGTCAACACTAATTTGACAATTGACAAAAAAGGCATCACTCGACATCGCCCGCGGCAAGTAAACATTGTACATGATCACACCGACCACAAATAATAGGCATTAATCTATGCATTATAATATACAACGGAAATAATATAGAAACCGTACTAACTAACACAAAGCACCTCAACTAAGGTCGTCACCGGAGTATTTATCGACGGAACGTCTCGACGGGAACTCGAGACGGAGATCTCGGCGAGACGCTCGGCGCATTTATTCATATTTATATATTTTTTTGATATTTTTCTTTATATTTAATTACGAAAACAAACACACGAATGGCATTTTAATAACATTTTAAACTTAATTTAGTCATATCACATTCATCGAGTGCCGTCTCGCTGCAACTTTACAAATAAAATCGAGCGAGTCTCTCGCGGCCGAGGGAATCGTGAACCGAGGGTAGGCCGAAAGACTCCTCGGGGACGTACGGACGAACGAACAGTGATATATTTGTATATTAGTAACCGTTAGCAATAAGACACTTCACGTTGCGACCCGACGGTCGGCTCTCGAAGGACTGCCGAGAGATATTTATAGAATTTTTAAAACAAAATCGCTATTTACAAGCATTTAGGCCTCGGTCCGAAATACTCGAATCCGACTTTCGGAGGAGAAGAGAAGAGATGGAGAGAAAGGTAGAACGGTATTCCCTTCGAGCGACTCAAAATTTAATTTTTGAACGAAGGCTCTCTGGACGCTCTCGGCCCTTCGATCCGCACTCGTCAGTCTAAATCTTGGGGAGCTTGGGGGCGCTGACGAGGGGGTTCTCCCTCCGCAGCGCGTCCAGGGCGTGCCCCTTGTAGTCGTAGGCGCAGCCGTGGACCTCGGAGTAGCGGTGAGGGGCGCACAGCTCGGCCCCGCAGCGGCAAGTGTGCACCGTCGCTATGCTGAGCCGCTTCTTGCAAAACGCACAACGGATTTTTATCTTCTTCTTCTCTTCGGGGCTCTTTTCCTTTTCCTGTAACGACAGATATTAAATTAAGAATTTGTGCCTTCCCATTTTATCCTAATATAAATAATAGTTTCAAAAGAACAAAGGCAAATGTTAAATTTCATAAAAATCGATCCAGTCCGGTAGGAGGAGATTGGATACGAACGCCAAGACACGAGAAAGAGAAAGAGATAACATTACAAAATGGACCATTTTCTCAAAAGAAATGTTCACCTGCGACACCTCCTTGTCCTCCTTGAAGCGTTGCTCCATCTCCGTGATCTTGTCGATGCGCCTCTGTCTCCTTTCGGAGCCGACTTCCTTGTTGAGGGGGGCCAGAGAGGGGGCGAGGGAGTCAGGGGGGGGCGTGTCCAGTCTGTCGTCGCTCAGGTGCAGGTGTTCTCGGTTGCGGTGCCGGCTTAAGGCTGGAAGGATTCTGGAATTTTTCCAAGTTTTAATTCTATCATACTGTTACTAGATGGCGTAAGAATGTATTTGATTTCTGTAGTTTATGCTATTTGACAGAATGAAGAATGAAGTGTTATTGAGAGTAATCTATGTAATTTATACGTCAATCACGTAATCAGATGTCACGCGCAGAAACAACGCACAAACGTCACAGATTAGTGGAATCGATAGACGATGTTATACAAGCATAGTACGTCACGGGAACTCGTAGGACGCCATCGTGCCCAAAGTGAAAATTATTATTATTTCAATAACTATAACAAATACCTAAACGAATTAAAAACAACAACTTGAAGGTTCTCCATAGTCACTAACAAATAATCCAAATAGTTTTAAAACAGGTCGATCTTGTTTTTAAAATGCTCCAAACCGTTGGTACAAAATTTTACAAAAATACTAAATAAAATTTAAATTAGATCATCAAGCTCACCTATTCCTCTTCAAATGCTCCAGGTCCGAGGTGGAAGACGAGAAGAGCGCGTCCGACAGGGGCGGCGAGGAGCGTGCCGACCTGCGCGTGCGCACGTGCAAGGCGGACGAGGAGCCCGCCACGGGGCCGCCCGCGAGGGACCCCGCCAGGCCTCCCGCCAACTGGGAACTGGAGCCGAACCCGCGAGCTCGCCAACCGCTCGATTCCCCGACTACTAGAGGGCCTGGAATATTTATCATTTCAATATACAGGCGTTCGGTAAATAATCGATAAGTCAAGTTTTCCGTTAATTACCAGATAAACTGTATATTATGATTTATCGAAATTGGTCAAGCCATTTAGGCAACTTGTACAGCAACTTCTAGAAAATTTTTCAATTTTTTATTTGAGTCTTATGTAAAAAAAAATTACTTATGAATCATTACATACTATATTAATTTATATATTCATGCCGATGTTAAGGGGTATTCATTCATTGCCGAAGGGTAGAGACTACGGATCTCCATCCACTTTCGTGACATTCACCATACGTGCTCGTCGGTTATGGGTACTTTTAACTTGTCACTCTCCTAAACTCTGATTTTTCATTCCGTAGAATTTGACATTTCAAAGTGTTGCTGCTAAAAACGGTCTGAACCAACAGCCGCTCACCCCGCACATAGACAACGCCCATTACAACTGATCCCTCGCCACGCGATCGGAAGCCTTTTCTAAATCTACGGAAACAAGAAAACTTTTGGACAATGCATCGTAAGGAAAAGCAGCCCGTTCACTTTCCAAGTCCTGCTTGCACATCCCACACTTTTTATCACTGACTTTCCTGCTCTCATTTAAAGCGTCCGCTGCTTCTTCTTTTCACCCTGGTTAAACCTGTTTATCTCACCCTGGTTAAACGATGGAACGTGGGGAAAGCAACAAAATCCTCATCAAATAACTCCTTGCTCCCATCTAACACACAGCTTAATGAAATGTCAATCTCCGAGGTTTGGAAGGGATTGACGGTTGCCACTCACCATAATCCGCATGAAGCGCGGGCAAACTGTCAGCTGCCAAGGGCGTGTCCACGTCCCCCTGCCCCCGCCCCTCGCCCGCCTCCCGCTTCACGAGGATGGAGCCCGACAGGGCCTCCGACAGCTTCAAGCGAGCCCTGAAATATATAATAACCCGTTTGAGATGCCAATTGCGCTGCAAAACAATTCTCTTACACGATTGTCGTTTCCATTTAAATGCTAATAAAAAAGCATGAGACATACACGCGATCGATTATTCCTTGGATTAATGGAAACAATGTCAACAAAATGATTGTTAGAAGCAATGAAATGAAGATGAGATGTGGAAATGGCCGATCGAAAGCCAACCGTTCGAATCGGGCCGAAACCCTCCCTTTGCTGGTGCAGTTGTTCAAAGCAACTCACGTGTCGTCAGCGTCAGGAATGTTGGGGTCGGAGTCAGTCCTGCAGGGCAGGACCGATCCTGAGAAGCAGTCATACCTCCTGAACCGGCCTTCCTCCAGTGCGGGGTCGTCCAGCAGACTGGCCACGGACAGGAACTCTTCGCTCCTCGTCTTCTGGATGTCTCTCTTCACTGTAACGTTACATATTACATACATTTAAGATAATTTTAGTTCGCTTCATACGTTTTAAAGACTATAAATGGAAGTCTGAAGGTACCGTGCGAGGGCCTGGAGGCGTTGAGCTTGAGCATGCGGTGCCTGAGCTGCATCATCTTGGTCATGGTGAGGGCGTTGTCGTGCATCATGTCGGCCACCAGCTCCCCACCGGTCGAATGGCCCTCGTCGCGCTCGCACTCGGCCAGGTGGCTCAGAGACGACGAGTCTGTGATGACATCGGAAACTTACAAATAACACAAACCACACATTAAAAACAGCAAGTAGGTAGTTTATGTTATAGCAAAAACACAAGAAAATCTATTTGTAGCAATTAAGCCTGGTAGTTTAAATATAACTCAAACTCGAGTAGAATCATTATGGTTATTATTCCTACATTTAACAAAAGAGTTGACTCAGACTTACCCAGCCACTAACCTCACTATCACTAAGGCAAAAACATAGGGGATAGAAATAAACAAGGGTAACATTTATCAAATTTACCCTTATATATATTTCGACTTTATAAAATTTATCTCCTATAAAGACGCGTGTGAACATTTTTAAATAGAGACCGTTGACGAAAATACGGTTTATTGCTACTACATGACATCAACTCAAATAAAATTAAATGCAGTTCACTTCTAGAAAAAAAATCCCTTCCTTGTTCCTGCCTACCAGACTCTCAATCGTGCTTTGTTTCATGTTCCTTACATCAACAACTATGCCAAAAACATTAGTTTTCTATCGCGCAGCCCGGACATACAACAACCACTATTTAAGCCTCGACTTGTTTAAGCTCCCGGAATATGCTTAAAACGAGTATTAAGAATATCCATAGCGCTAAATCACCTGCATCATGAGCACACCTCACATACACCTTCACGAACATATCCTTACTTTTACACCATCACACAACACAGCCAAATTATTGTTTTTATTGTTTTTTCCCCTTTTGTAAATGTTCGAAGCTTTTTATAAATCAATATAACACATAAAATTATTGTTGATTATATATTATGTCATTTATAATATCTATTTGTTATTTTTAGATCAAAGTAATCTATAATCACAGTTGGGGAAGCATCTCCAATGCAAAATATACTCACACTTGGCAGTGTCAAGATGCGAATAGGTGCCGTCCTTGTTCTCCCTGACCCTGAGCATGTTGACTCTTTCCCCTTCCCGGAACACCACCACCGTCACCTTGCACCCGCTGCCCGCCCCGGACACGCCGCTGGAGCATTCCCCGCTGTTTAGTACAATATCTCATATATTTTTGTTGTTGATCGTTATCATTATTTGCCTGATTTAATTAAAATAATTGATAAATAGAATTTAAATCGCAGAAGTGTCTTGACATTTCGTGTGAATTGTCACCGGGTCAAGAGTCAAACTTTTTATATTCATAATTAAATTTTATAACGCTCAAATAGAAGGTTACAAAACAAAACATTTATAAAGCGACGGGTATGTATTTTTTGCGAAGTTTATAGTTCAAACATTATATTTTAACAATACATTATCTGGTAAGAATCCGGGTAAAATACCTTTTAGAAGCAAGCATTCGTTCAATGTCGTGCCACGGTTCGGGCGGAGGCAGCCTGCGTGTGGCGACCGGCCCTCCGCGAAGCCCCAACACGAGCCGGAGTTTCGCCCCATCACATACCGACTGCTCGCGGAGCGATCGTGCATCTTCCAACTCTTTGAGATTGTAAACTAAGTGCTGCTGAGATATTGGTATGCCTGGAACCAATTTAACACCAATAAATTAATTTATTTACCTACATAAAAACAATATACTAAATTATTTCTTTCAGATTATATCCATATTATGTAGTTTTAGATAGAGTAAGTAACAATTCGGTCTTAGAAAGGTAAAGAAAGGTAAAAAACAATATACTCCTATAGTGGGACATGAACAGCATATCAACTTTTTAAAATATGGGTGTTCTTTGTGATCAATACGTTTAGGATACCATTGGTCCTATGCCTCAGGCATCAAGGATGCCAACCATTTCCGAATGATGGCATTACCCCATTTTACCCCTTACAGATAAATAATTTACGATACTTTCTCGCTCCAGATCAGACCCCATCAGACAAATCCGACAATCAACAAATCTGCAACCTTAATGACCCAAATACTTATATTCCTTTACTCGTTTGAGTGGCATACTGTGAAGCAACATTGGTGGAACTGTATCAACTTTATTATTGCCTGACTGAAATTCTAATATATTAATTTTATCGGTATTGTACCCTAGTCCATGAGCGGCTGTAATTTGTGTACACCCTATGCAACCTTCAACTATTAAGTAAACCATGCTTCTGAACAATAATTCATACATTATGTATGTGTTTGGTTCTAGTAGAAACTTAACCAATTTAGGTTCATAAACTCCATGGATTATTGTATCCTAAGTTCATTTATGTATAGCATCTTGTTCATTTAATATTTCTACCAGACATTTAAAAAATTCTATCAAATAAGCAGCCCTAATTAGGATGTGGTACTCTTTAAGCCTAGCCAATCTTTACCTTTGTTACATATTGTTTTTATGATCTTGTTAATTGTATTAATTAAGTAATAAAGTGTAAATAAATAAATAATTATATCTAAAATGTTAGTATAAGTGCCCTAGAGAAATTATTCTTTATAAGTAGGAAACTTGTATAAAAAACCTTCATTTAGATCTAATCAAATGTTACCCATATTATTGTGCTTCTATTCGCCTAGTAGCCACACTCTACTTTTGTCTAAGTTTAAATATAGTATATGGACATATAACAGTAGGAATAAGAATATGATTCTACTTATTAACTTTGAAATTGTCAAAATTGTCAAAAAAATTTGGATGAAGGCCATATGATATCGTCACTTGAACACTACTGGCATTGATATTTTTTACAAACAATTTACATAATAAACAACATTGTACAATAAATAAAAATATAACAACAATTTTGTGTTAAAGCTAAAATTTAATATAATATATAATATTGGAAACAAAATGTTTAATTGTATTTAGAGGATTAAAATATTGTTGTGAGTTGTGACAGTAAACATATAAATTGAAAATCTACAAAAAGAAGAAAATGATGTGAAACTATTATTTATGTGTAGCCTAAGATTGGTTTTCCATGATGTGGTCGAGGAAATCTCTGGGCAAGTGTTATTGGTAATAACCAAAATAATGCAAGAAAAGGGTGTGCACCCCAATACAATGGACCAACCAAGTACCACAAAACCAAGACACTAAATTCTCTTACACCATTCACAAAGAGATTGTCAGACATGGAAGCATCAGTGTTGTAAAAGCCAAAATGTGGTAAAGAGCATCTCTACCATTAGCCAATGAGCCAGCAAGCAATTAGAGGGGGAGGAGGAACATTAGTTCAACTCATCATAGCAAATAAGAGACTCTGCATCACAGTTTTCAATTTTACAAAACACATAATAAGAGTACCTGTATTTAGAGTATTTACCATTAGAAAACAAAGTTAGTTTTGAAACATGAATAAAGAAACAAAATACCAGTCATATTATAATAAAAGCATTGTAAGTATAGTGCTTAGAATTGAATCTAACACATGAGAAGGTTATAGAAATTTGTTTATTATGAAGAAAGGCAAAATATAAGTAAATTAACTTATAGTATGTGATTACAAACTAAAAGTAACAAATTATTTTACTTAACATAAATAATTAGATGTTTATTTTTAATCTATAAAAAAATTATTCAAAAAATGATTATTTTGATGAGATAGAAACATGAGTCATATATTTTTATTGACATAGTTTCAGTGTTAGTCATAAATGATATAATTGAAAAATTACATCTTAAGATACAGTTAATGATCCCATGAAGAAACAGGCACTGCATTATTTACTGCTCAGAATTAGTACAAGTTGTAATATGTAAAACAACATAATTATAACCAAACACAATATTACAACCAATGTAGTACAACAGGGTAATGTAAGCTTTTAATGAATCCATTAACAGTTATTTGATTCCGACGCAATAAATTTGTGTAATTTACGCAGCTCATAAGCCACGACATTCTTTGTTGAGATGACGCGTGATAACAAGAAACAATTTATTGTGTAATACTTTGTGCCATTTTATTAAAAAATCCTGTTAAATGGAACTTACCTTCTACTCTATATATTTTCGATTTGATATCGAAAATAGTGTCAGAAGGCGAGACTGTGATTTCAAAAGCTGTGCCAGTCAGAGTCTCAACCAACACCTCCATAGTCTGGCTTGACATATTATCTTCCTGGAGCCCCTTTGAAGTGTTCGACAGTCTCTCAGGGAATCCATGTTGTGACATTTCACACGCGGTACAAACAATTAACTACCTGCGCCACATTGCAGTTTACACAAATTTTATAGCATTGATTGTGATGAATGGCTAGATACTTGGGACGATCACTTGTGACTTGATGACGAAGAGAACTAAATTGTCTGTCATATATTAAATTAAGTATTATAGACTCGTTGAAAGTTTTAAAGGAAAAATTAAACAAAACAAATAATAATTTAAACAAAATGAGATTATTTAGCAACAAAAATAATATTGCACACAACGATTGAATGAAAGAAATATTTTTATTAATAACAGAATAAAAATTTTCATATAAAAAGCAAGCTACAGATATAATGTTCCATAGATTCATGAATATCCCACTCAAGCACATTAGCACAGACAATATGAAATTTCAGTTTGTGTAATATCTATACACGGATGCAGATACGTTTCTATAATCAATGACACTTGTTTATGGATAGCAAATCTTTCTTTTTCATCGTTGTGCGTTTACCGTATCGGAGGTTATAAAATGGTGCGTAGAAATATTTATGAAAAAAGTTCTTAATTTAAGCAAAATATGACAAAAATTACTGATCATTATAATATTGATTAGCAAATAAAACAAATTTGATAATATTTTGCATCTTACGAGTTACGACATTTTTCATTAGGGCTCGCGTGGTGGCTGTCATGTTAGGCATGTGGTATGAAGATCGAAATTTTGGTTTCAGACTCGTAAACGCCGTAACGGAGGACGCGCTAAGCACGGCCGTGGACATGTTAAGGCAGTAAGATGCACGAATTGTGCAAGATGCGTTCCAAAGGACAAGGCTATCAAGAAATTCGTGATTAGAAATATCGTTGAAGCTGCCGCTGTTAGGGACATAAACGAAGCCTCCGTTTACACCTGTAAGCAAACTTAGATAATTTTCAAGTTGTTAATTTGCGTTTCAGTTATAACAATTATTATAATTAGTATATTTTTTTCATGTATAAAGTGCTAAGTTTTTGGTTATGTAGGTTTGTTAGTCATGTCAAATTAAGAAAACTATTACTATGATTCGTATTAGTTGAGAATCGCATTCATAGCCTTCATCACAGTTCCGTAATATTTAATTGATCATGTAGATTATATATGTATATTGATAAGTTTTAAACTTTTCATTTCAGCATTCCAGCTCCCCAAGTTATATGCCAAGTTGCATTACTGTGTGTCATGTGCTATCCACAGCAAAGTTGTGCGCAACAGGTCAAAGAAGGACAGACGTATTCGTACGCCACCTAAGAGCAACTTCCCGCGAGACATGTCCCGCCCACAGAATTTGCAACGGAAGTAAATTAATAAATTTATAAGAAAAATCAATTGTTTAATTCTTTTACCAGTGTCTTGTTAACTGTTTGTTCTAGTAGCAAATAGTCATGATAGCAGAGAATTCAATAATAGAGAACAGAAGAAAATAAAACTAAATGGCAATAAATCTTATGAAAAATAATTTTTTTAAATAGAAAAGTGTCAAGTTTAAGGGTTTAATTCAAAAGTATAGTCCTGTGACCACCAATTCTTATCTCACCTCTTAATCTAAGGCATTCTGAGGATAAAATATCTTATCCCTGTCTAAGGATGCTTTTTTATTATTCTATTCTATTTATATTATTCTGAATTGGTGTAAAAAATATGCATTTTTCTATTATATTTATTTATTAAGGATCCTTTTGTACAAGGTTGTTGTGTTAAGGATACAAACATATATTACAGTGACCAAAAATTTGTGCAATATTACTTTTAACATAATTTCAAATCAATTTATGTTTATAGATACTTTTTATAGCAATTATATTAACGTAATAAAAGCTTATAAATACAATTTATTTAAACTATGGGCCCTGAAGTTTATAGATGGTTTTAGGTAATTTATGATGGTCTGGTTTTTGGGCTGTTTCAAGAGCATATTTTAAATTCTTCTCAAAAACTTTCTTAGCATCACAGAAACCCTGCTTAGTTTTTCCAAATGAGTTAGGGCCTGCAGATGTTGGTGTTTCTCTGTAAAATAAAAGATTTCATTTATAACATAATTCCTTTATAGTAATATAACAGTAATCCAAAAACTAAGCAGTAACATGAAGCTCAGACATTAAAAATAATTTCATTTATTTTAAAAACAACAAACCTGCCAATATTCCTCATTCTCATACGAGCTTCAGCTGGCATTTCTTCTGGCTCTTCATCGTCATCATCATTATTAAAGACTGAAGCTACTGTTGGTTTTGGAGCTGCCACTGCTTTAGGTTTTGATGAGCCTCCTAATGTCATTTTGATTGGAGCTTGTGGCTTTGAGAATCCAATACTTATTTTGCTGATACGAGGAGGTGGTGGTGGTGCTGGAGCTTCAACAATGCATTCTCTGTTACTAGGAGATCTCTTCCTTTTATCTAAAATGTAAAGTTGAGAAATACTTCATTATAAGACTGAAAATAGGAAGTGGCCTGGGTATCTCTAATGTAACTAAAACATGATTAAATTTATTCCTATTATATAAAGTTTATTAATAAACTATATAGTAAAAGGGCTGTTAATTCCCTCAATGCCTGTGAACAGGTGCCACTTCCGGAAACTGGAGTGCCAGGTTTCTGTTCAGTTTTGTAATTTAATACAAATAAAGAGCAGAATGTATCTCCCTCATTCTGGTTTCTTCTATCTATGTTTACCATAGTCCTTTTGTATTATGATCTGATATTTTAAGAGTAGTTCCAAGAGCTTTCTTATGCCAGCTTTTTCTCTCAGCCTACACCCTGTCTTCTTCTTATACATATAGATGACATGGAATAAGTGATATATCTTATATTCCATATTAAACATATTTTTTTTTGTTTAAAATAAAATTTATATGTTTTTACTAGGAAGTAATGTTTAGAGCTATTATTATATACTATTCTTGAGTGACGTAGGGACACATTTGAATAAAAAGTTAATGGTTGAGTCTTAACATAAACATACAGGTGCAAAAGCTTTACTGTTTATGCACTTAAGTGCTTTAGATACAGATGCAGCTCATACCGTCAAAGTTATCTCGATTCCGCCTGCTTTCCGGTTTATATTCTGATGGTGATCTTCGTCTTGGAGATCTCGACCGCGTCCTTTCTCGCCCATGACTCTCGACTCTCCTAGAATCATCACGCGTCGATCGAGATGACCCTGCCAATGTGAAAACACTGGCAAAGATAAATAACGTATAGAAATGAACAAAGCAGAACAAGTTAAGCCCGTTTTTGTTATCAAATATTAAAAGTTCAACAAGAAAAATTTACCCTAATGAATACCTTTGTAATCTCGATAACGCTCGCTCATATTTGTGACGTCGTACAATCAATAATAATATTGATTTTTTTAACTAGTTCATAAAAAGGATGGTTAAAAGTAATTAAATTAATAAAATATTTAAACTTCCACTTAACAGTTATATATGTTTTATGGTTATTAATTATTATTATTATATTATATCAGTTCTATGTTCTTCCATCTTTCACTTTCCTCAAAGTTCAAACTTGTTTTTAGTCAAAGTCAACACAAACTTTCTAGTCTATGAGGTTAGTCATAGACAACATATATCATTATTATACAACATAGAGGTTAGTTTTGACGTAATAAATGCGTTTTCCAATTACAGCACTAGAGCGCATTAATGCTCAACGTTGAATGTTCCAACTACAGCAACGCTTCGCACAATTGAGCACTCTCAAAAGTAATGCTCTCGCGTGCTTCTCGCAATAATAAATACCAACACAGTGACAGAAAATTGACCAGTGTTTTTCTTTAAGTTGGCATTGATCGAAATTTTCGTTAGTAAATATTATTTATTGTTGAAAAATTTGAAAGGCTTTCGTTTCGTCGTAGATTTTGAAAATAATTAAAGTTATTTCAAACGGTTAAAAAAAAAGGGTGCGTGTACTTATGTACGCGCGTAAGAAGTTATACTTCTTTGGCATTATTAAAAAAGTTTTTGATTGCATGCAAATAATTAATTACAATTAAATAATCAAAACTGGAAAAGGAGTCATTATAGTCAATAAAGTTCAGTTTACATTTTAAAAATTAAATAAATAAATATGTATTTATTATTATTCTCTTACATTAAGTGTAACATAAATTCTATTATTATTCGAATGTTGTTTTTAAATTATGTCCAATGCCGTAGCATCTTCCGTGGGCAACTTCACTCTGTTAATTTTGTGTACGGTGCGCGCGCTTCGTAAAATTTCACTCGCATCAATTTTTCATAACGCGCCTAAAGAAGTATAACTTCAAAAATAAATATAAGTATGGATGAAGGTATAAATAGTTACTTTTTTTATATTCCACATTTTAAATATGAATACAATTTCATTTTAAAATTCGGATCTGTAAACAAATTTATTTTACAGGATTATACTTTTGTAAACATTGCAATGGTTTTGAAAAAGTATATTTTTAGAAATCATTTAAAAAAATTACTCAAAACGTAAACTTCTTACATGAAACTAAATATTTTACTGTTATTTTAGCTTGTTAAAACAAAACTCGACGATTCCAGGACGAAGACAATTTATTCAAAAAATATCTTAAACCTTATACTAAAAACCACATATAACGATAGCGCGATTCAGCATAATGCAGAAATCGCACAGCGCCATCCGTTGGTGAATATCAGAACTAAATACAATATTTATGTACATATTATTACGTTTGGACATGCCGCCCACCATGGACAGTATGTTCATCTTCCTACACACTATGAAATAACTTGTTAAACAAGTGGACTGTATTAAGCGAATGGTGCATAGAATGTGAGGTTAAGTCATAGTGATCAGGATTAAACTAAAACTAAACAAAACATACAAAAAATAATAATACATTAGCTTAGTGCAGTGGTTGTGATCAAATTCTAACAAAAATATATCAACTTAACAATAAGATAGATGAATCTTTTAAGATACAGTGATTTTTTAAAATGAATATCAATTCAAATATGATAGGAGATGTTGTCGTACTAACACTAGATTACACGTTTGTATTGCGTTACTATACATATTAATCACAAATTTAAAATTCAAAGACAACTCTCGGTATTGATAATGAAGTTATCAACGAAAAAAGGTTCAAACTAAAAATAACAAAAACAAAAGTTCGTACTACATGTGACAAAGGTAAAATAAACTCCAAATTATTTCAGAGAGCTACAGGTAAAATACATATTTTGGTAATTGGGCGTTTTATTATGACACCTCTGACCTTCAAACTAACAACTCTCGTGAGTCCATCCAAACCCGTATGCTTCTCAGTGATTACTCCCAACAACCATCTCGCTGGAGGCATATCGTCCTCCTTGATTAATGCTACATCACCAATTTTTGGTTCTGGCGTAACGTTAGCCCACTTATACCGGTGCAAGAATTGTGTCAAATATTCGTGTGACCACCTTCGCCAGAACACTTGAAGCATTTTTTGAATTATTTGCCAGCGATTGAGATTTGAAATGGAAGAATTTTCATAATTCTTATCGGGTACTAACAGAAGCGGTTCGCCGACTAAGAAATGTCCAGGGGTAAGAGGAGTCGGATCCTGAGGATCGCTACTAAGTTGAGACAAGGGTCTCGAATTAAGACAAGCTTCTATCTGGTGCAACAAGGTAGCGATCTCTTCGTAGGTTAGGGTTGCGCTGCCTATGACGCGTCTGAGATGGTGCTTTGTAGCTCTTATTCCACTCTCCCATAGTCCGCCAAAGTGTGGAGCGTGGGGTGGGATAAAATGCCATTCCGTTCCATTGTCTGCCAAACTCTTAACGATTTCCATCGTCAAGTTTGACCTTTCTGCAGCAAACAAAGATCTTAGTTCTCGCGCAGCTCCCACAAAGTTGGTCCCATTGTCGCTAAAGAGTTCTGCGCAATGACCGCGTCGAGCAACAAAACGCTTGAAAGCAGATAGAAATCCTTGCGATGTAAGATCACTAACGGCTTCGAGATGTATCGCCTTCGTAGCCATACAAACGAACAAACAAATGTAGCCTTTGTAAGCTCGGTGTCCTCTTCCCTTAGTTGTTCGAATCTGGATAGGACCAGCGTAGTCTACACCACTTTGGTAAAATGCACGAATTGGTGTAACTCGTACCGGAGGTAAGTGGCCCATTAGCTGAGTCCTAGTTTGTGCAGCATGACGTGCGCATGTTACACAGTTACGAACAAACATCTTTGTACGATTTTTGGCGTCAATAACCCAGTATTTGGAACGAAGATAGTTCAGTGTTAATTGAGGTCCACCATGCAGTGTTCTTTCATGGGCCTCCGTGATTATGAGATTGGTGAGGTGTGATTTAGAAGGCAATATCAACGGGTGCTTTAAGTTGTCACCAATGTTAGCTCTGTCAAGCCGGCCACCAACTCTCAAAATATCATCTTTGTCAAGAAACGGATTCAATGTGGTAAGTTTACTCTTCTTATTTACCGTTCCCTTCAATTTTAAATCGCTTATTTCTTGTGAAAAATATTTCCATTGACATTGTTTAATACAGGTAAGTAAAGCTTCATTTAATTCTCGACTAGTTAACCAAGTAGGATATTCATTTGTTAATTTTCTTAACTTTTTGATAAATCTGTTACAATAAGCTAGGACTCGTAAAAGTTTCGTTATTGATGAATATTTGGTCCACAATTTCAATTCTATCTCTTCTACTATATGGTAACTTTTCTTGCTTTTTTCTTCTAAATTAGTGTCTGGTATGGGTTTTCTTTCGTAATTGATAACTTTATTTTGTAGCCAGGGGGAACCAGTTCTCCACATTTCCATGTTTACTAAAGCTGATGGTGTCACTCCCCGAGAGGCACAATCTGCTGGATTGTCGGTAGATGAAACATGTGACCACTGAGTTGCGTCTAAAATGTCTAAAATCTCCGAAACACGATTAGCAATGAAAGTTTTCCATCGACTGGGATGGCTACTTAACCAAGCTAGCACAACCGTGGAATCAGTCCAAGCGTGAAGTTTATTCTTTGGTACGTGCAGAACTTCTACAACTTCTTGTAACAACTTAGCCAGTAAAACAGCTCCACACAGTTCGAGCCTTGGAATACAAACTTGTTTGATTGGTGCTACCTTCTGCAAAGTTCGAACTGCAAGGTAAGGAGCAGACGCAGTACCAAAAGTGACACGTAAAAGGCGAAGATGCTGTAAATCTTCTGTAGTGTCTGTGCGCCACACTAAACGTTGATAGTCTACATCTTCTCTTGTTACCCTCACTTGACGGTACATTTTGATTATGTCGGCAACCAGACAAATAGGATGTAGCCTCCATCTTAAAACAATGTGACGTAAGTCAGGCTGTAGCGACGGTCCGACCATCAAATCACTATTCAGTGATACACCGTTCTGGTCTCGACAGGATGCATCGAAAACATCTCTGAGTTTAGTCGTCGATTTATCAGCTCTAACGACCGCGTGATGAGGTAAGTAAAACGTTTCTTTTTTGTCAATTTCTTCTATAGGTACTAACTCCATATGTCCCAACTTCAAATACTCTGATATTACATCTGTATATGATTTCTTTAAATCTGGTGATTTCAATAAACGCTTTTCTAACATTAAGAATCGTTTAATTGCTATCTCACGTGAATTACCATATTTGCAGCTCGGATCGACATCTCTGAATGGGAGTTTAACGATATAACTTCCCGATGGATCTCGCTTCGTGGTTTCTTTATAGATGTCTTCACATCTTTGTTCTTCATGAGTGAGGTGAGTTCTTTTAAGGTCAAAGTTATCAGACTCAAGTTCCCAAAATTGTTTAAGGTTAAAATCATCATTGTTAATTTGAGTGTGCATTGTTAATATGTTTTCGCAACCCAAACCATGTTGGTCGTGATGATCGTTCTCGATTTTTCCAGATAAGATCCAACCTAGCCTAGTGTTCTGAGCTATTGGTGTTCCTGGTGGTCCTCTCATTAGACCCTCAGCTATGATTTGACAATAGACATCAGCACCAAGCAACATATCAATATGACTTGGTTTGTTGAAATTTGGATCTGCTAACTTCATCCTTGGTAGATTTGGCCACAGATGGACAACGAATTCCTTTACAGGGAGGAATGAAGTTAGTTTTTTAAGAACATGAGCTGTTACACAAATAGTAAATGATTCATCTTGAATTGATTGCAGATTAATCTGAACTACATACTTGGAATCAAGTGGGGCATTGCCGTCACCTCCAACTCCAGATATAACACTGTTGCTTTTGATTTTCTTTAGCCCCAGCAACTGGACTGCAGACTCGGTAATAAATGAAGCCTGTGAGCCCTGATCTAATAAGGCTCGCAGTGTCATACTTGATCCAGAATTATTGTTGGCCCTTACGAGGGCTGTTGCCAATAGAACTTGTTTTCTGGTATTAGAAAAACAAGTGGTAATATTTTCAATGTTGGTCTCGTCTGGTCTCGATGTTGTTGCCGTTGCAACAACATTGATATCTTCTGGTGATTGGTTGTTAGCTGATACATTATCTGTTGATACACTAGCGTTGTAATGCAAAAGTGAATGGTGTTTTCGTTTGCAAATCTTACACCTGGTGGGCAAACGACACGCCTCAACCGAATGATTAGCACCCAAACAGTTGAAGCATAAGGTGGAACTTTGAACAAACTCACGACGTGTTTTAAGGTTACCCTTAGCAAATTTCTTACAATTTCCTAATTTATGCGTACTATCTGAACAAAAGACACAATTTGATTTTTCCTTAAAAGTTACATGATGAGATTGAGTGCATTTGACTGGTTTGTTTATTAAAAATTCAAGTGACCTAAACCTTTGCTCTAAAAATTCAAAAAACTTATTTAATGTTGGCAATTCATCTGTTAAATTACAAATTTTAGTTTCCCATAACTCTCTAGACTTAGTATCTAATTTTGAACTTAAAATATATAAAACAATAACATCCCAATTGTCAGTTACTATTCCTATATTTTTCAATGCATTTAAACATTCATTTGTGGTGTCTAGTAATTCTTTAACAGCATTAGAAGATTCGGAAACAATATTCTTTTGAGAAAAAAATCTTTTTAAAATACTATTTGTAATAAATTTCTTATTATTAAAACGTTGTTCTAACATACTCCAACATAGTTCATAATTTTCACTTGTAACCGGCAGATGTCGTAGTAACTGCTCGGCTTCACCAGTCAGGTAACTTTTTAGGTAATGCAACTTTTGCACTGCTTGCAACGATTTGTTGCTGTGTATCAATGACTTAAACAGGTCACGAAACGTGGTCCATTGTGAATAGTGGCCAGAAAAAGTAGGTATTGTTATTCTAGGTAATTTTACTTCACTGTTAATGTTGCTTACTACATCACTCGTAACTATAGGGCTATTTTTAAATTTAGTAAGTTTTTCCTTTATATCAATTTTGTATTCACTATATAAATCTTCCGTCTCTCCATATACATCTTTCAAGTTATACTCCGATTCATCATAATCTCCCTCACCATAGTTACATATTAATTTAATGTGTGTCTCTTCAAATGTTGACCATTGTTTTTCTAATTGTTCCAATCTGGTTTCCAAATAACTTTCTGTAATTCTATCTTTTGGTGTTTTCTTAAAATTTGTATAAGCCCTTTTTAATGTTTTGTTGATATCTTTTTGTACTCTAATAAGTGATTCCATTTTGATCGCTAAGTGTTTCTAAGTTACACTTGTAAAATTTCCAAGTTCCAAATCGCAAATTTTTCTAAGTGTTTGGTGTAATAATTTCGACTTAGGCAAAATCGGGCATGGATTCCCCGTCTCAACCACCTTTGCCTTAATTATTTTACAAGTCCATGCCTTATGTTAATTTTTCTATGTGTTTGGTGTAATAACTTCGACTTAGGCAAAATTGGACATGGATTCCCGTCTTAACCACTTTTGCCTTAATTTTTCTAAGTTATTTTACCAGACTTATTAGAGTTCGAATTTGTTAGGCAAAGTTTTAAAGTACTTACAGTTTTAGTCACCTTTACACTTACACACACCACAATCACTTATTTTACACTTTTTATACACTAACACTTTACACTAACACTAGGGTTTCCAATCACTGCTGTATCCGGCTACGAATGACCATGAACAAAACTCGACGATTCCAGGACGAAGACAATTTATTCAAAAAATATCTTAAACCTTATACTAAAAACCACATATAACGATAGCGCGATTCAGCATAATGCAGAAATCGCACAGCGCCATCCGTTGGTGAATATCAGAACTAAATACAATATTTATGTACATATTATTACGTTTGGACACCTTATATTCTTTAAAGGTTTTCTCTTATTTCAGTAAAAAAATGTTAATGAAATAATTTGATTATTAAAATAAGCGTAAATAGTTTTCAACCAATTATTATTGTTTACCACATTATTTTTACATTAATGAGGTTGCTAACTCATATAGAACATTTTTTTTTTCAACACTGATTTAGCGCACTCTGCTGATGCATTTGAAAACTAATTCACGTTCCAATTAAGCTTCAGCATAATGCGGCATTGTGCGGCACTGAGTCGCGTTATGCTCTGTAATTGGAAAACGCACAAAATGTCCATTATGTATCAAAGTGTGAAAATCTGCACAGAAGTAAGTAAATAATAGTGTTCTGTGGAAAATCTGTGTGTACAGTGTACACCTAAAAATGTAAAATTAAAAATACAAATTGCTTATATATAATAGCAATGAGGCATGAGCGGAATACTTCGATGTTCATTTAGTATATTTTTAATTTACTTTTGTATTAAAGGAAAAGATGATGCTATGTTTATCCCGTGCTACACGTTTAGTCCGATTGATAACAAATACATCTTCAAAATATCGGTGCAAAGCAGATGATGTTTCAGCGTCATTTGAAAGCAGAATTAAGACAGGACCAGGGTTAAAAGATTTTATAATAACACCTGAAACTGAAATCGTTACTCATCCACCATACATACCTTATTTGCCTGATTTTATTCAGGATACATCTAAACGAAAAGTTTTCTTTGATGTATATGGATGTCAGATGAATTTAAACGATACCGAAATTGTTTGGTCAATTTTGAAGAAAGAGGGGTTTGAGAAAACTGCTGTCGAAGAGGACGCTGATATATTCCTTGTAATGACTTGTGCTATCCGAGAAGGAGCTGAGACTAAGATATGGCACCGATTAGATCATTTAAGAGGTTTTAAAAGAAGACGAGCACTATCAAAAAATAGAGATAGACCTGTAAAGATTGGCATTTTAGGTTGTATGGCTGAAAGGCTAAAAGAGATGTTAATTGAGAAAGAAAAGGCTGTTGATATTGGTATGTAAATTCTTAAATTTTTCAGTAAACTGAACCGAACTGAACCAACTCAGTATCATTTTATGAAATTAATTTTAAAGCCCCTAAGATTATGTATTATATTTCAGTGGCAGGTCCTGACAGCTACAGAGACCTACCAAGACTTCTAGCTCTCACAGAAAATGGGCAAACAGCTGTAAATGTACTGCTTTCTCTTGATGAAACATATGCTGATGTTGTTCCAGTTAGGTTAAACAAGGATAGTGTGTCAGCATTTATGTAAATACATTTTCTTATTACAAGAGGTCAAATTGTACTTTCCATAGAATCACCCATTGGTCAATAAGTATTCGAAGTCAGTTGTAGTAGCTGTAGAGCTGTTAAACTCTATGTTGAGTTTTACAGATTCTTATTTTGAGTTTTTATGTCTTACAGCACAAAATTGATATGAATAACAAGATTTATCCCTATTAAGGCAATCAACTGCCTGGCCAAAACCAAACCAAAGTTTCAGTTTGAAAAGGGTGCAATTGCCGTAAAGTAGACTTTTCAAGCATTTGTTTGCAGTAGAAATTCAGAATTATCACAAGAAGTAAGCAGAACCACCTAAGCAAGGGTTTTGCCCAGGTAGTTCTCGCTTCAAAGAGCAACAAGATTAAAACTTAAAAATATAAAGTTAAAATTTTTCTTTCAGTTCAATAATGCGTGGTTGTGATAACATGTGTACATACTGTATAGTTCCTTTTACTAGAGGTCGAGAAAGGTCTCGCCCAATAGACTCCATTGTAGAAGAAGTTAGACAACTGTCAGAACAAGGAGTAAAGGAGGTGACTCTTTTGGGTCAAAATGTGAACAGTTACAGAGACACCACACAGCAAACTGAAAAATATGACACACAATTGGCTAAAGGTGGGATTTTGGTTTAAAGTTTTATTCATATTTTTAAACAAAAGTAATTTTCTTAAACAATTCTAATTTCTGAATTTGGAATAAAAAAAATAATATAAATAATACATACTTACCAAAGTAGTGCATAGTAAAGTAAAAATATTTCTAAGCTCACACAAATATCATTATCTTTATTAATAATAAGTAAAAATAACTGCAGTGATTATTTGTCTGTTACTTTAGCCTACTTGCTATGTATTTTAATGAATGTTATTTTTAATATTTCTAGGTTTCAAAACAGTGTACAAAAGTAAGAAAGGAGGGCTACGCTTTGCAGATTTGTTGGACAAAGTGTCGTCTGTGGACTCCGAGATGAGGATAAGGTTCACTGCAGCTCATCCCAAAGATTTTCCTGATGAGGTTTAGAAATTTTAGAAGCATTTAAACAGACTAGCACACACCAAGGGCTAGTAAAAAAAATTAACAATTTTCTTTATTATATTTTAAACTCAAACATTGCTATTAATTTTTGTATGCTGGGTACAGGTGTGTCGTCTTTTAAGTATTAGGAAAAAGAGAAGAATAATTTTTCAGTACAATCGGTATCTTATGTTAGGAATGAGATATCATTGAATAATCTTAATTCAATTCCAGGTGTTACAAGTGATAAGAGAGCGTCCGAACATCTGTAAGATGTTGCATCTTCCAGCTCAGTCTGGTTCCAGCAGTGTGCTGGAGCGAATGCGGCGAGGGTACACGAGGGAGGCTTATCTTTCCTTAGTGAGACATGTCCGGGATAATATACAGGGTGGTCAGTATATCTCTAGTTTAATTCACTTGATGCTTGTATAACGTTTTTCTGTACCCAAGTATAGTAAAATGTTTCGTGACCACCTAGTGACTCTTTATACCTAAAAGTATCCGTTTTGTGGCGTAGAGTACTGGAAAGTCAAAAATAATATTAACAGTGACACATAATGCAATCCCCGCCCCGCATCGCAACCTCTTACACGAGGAAAAATTTGTTACATAATACTTGAAAGCTCCCTAATGCTATGGATTAAGAAAGAGAAAAAAGAAGTGCCTTGTTGTAGACACAAGAACATTGTGGAAGTACATAAATAAGCCTAATTCATTTCAGTGGGCCTCTCGACGGACATGATCTGTGGCTTCTGTGGTGAAACAGAAGAGGAGTTCGAAGAAACCTTGACGCTCATGGAAGAAGTGGATTACAATGTCGCCTTCCTCTTTCCCTACAGCATGAGAGAGGTAATATAATAGAACTACTGATCAATAATAATTATTTATTCAGTCCAACGACTCCTCACGAGTTTGGACATTTACAAGGGAAGTGCAAGAATCGAAAATAGGTCCTCGGTTTCAATAAATTTACTTTGAATATTTTTCCTTTCACAGAAAACGGCTGCTTATCGTCGATACGAAGACGACGTTCCCGAACAAATAAAGAAAGAGCGCCACAACAGGATGGTCGAGCTCTATCGACGGAAATGTGAGGAAATAAACAGAAAGGAAATTGGCAACAATCACCTCGTTTTGGTCGAAGGGATCGCCCCGAAGTCGGGGAAGATATTGGGCAGAAACGAATTTTACCTCAAAGTGTTGTTTGATCAGAGAGAAATCCCGTCAAGTGAGGGCATGAGGGAGGTGAAGCCGGGGGATTACGTTAGTGTAAGAATAAGTGCGGCGAAGGCGTCGGTTTTCCACGGAGAAGCCCTTTGTCATAGCAGTATTGAGGAGTTTTATAGGAACACGAGTTGGGCAGAGAGACAGAACATGTAATTTCTGAGTCAAAGTGAACTATCCTGTATATTATACACAGGTATTTTTTGTACTACAATGTCAGGAAATAAGATATAGAAATGTAGTACAAAGTTAAACTGTGAATAATATAACTTATGTTTAATTCTTCCTTATGGGCAAGTTGGTTGTAGAACTAACTTTTTGTGTCTTTTAGTGTGAAAAATGAATTGTTACAGGCGTTGATAGAACGCCCGACCTTAAGATTGAGAATCCATCGCAATAATAAGAAAACACCAAGTTTTTTGTTGTTGTTACATTTTAGAATAAATGTGCTACAAATATTTAAATTTTTTTTTGCAAGATTCCCATAGTTCAAGAACAAATAAATAAGGATAACAGTTCTCTTAAAGTCCATAAAATGGAATAATTCTTTATGATTTTGTAGATACGTTTATGTATATTAAAGTAGTCTGATTGTTTGAAATGTTGTATAAATAAAATCTATTACGAAATTTTGTTTTATTCAATTGCTCTCTATTGAGATTGGCCAATTATGCAGGAGGTATGAAAGAAGATGCAGATGCCTTTCCTAGTAATAATATTTATTATGAGGCGGCATAGGAGTAGAGTTGACAATAAAAGGAACATTTTAATTGTGTCACTTCAAAAGTGCATTTATTGTGGTCAATTATAAAAACCTTATTAATAAATATATAATAAATACATGCTATATTACATTAATACAGTATTACTACAAAAATATAACTTTGTATTACATTACGACTTAATGTCAGACTTTTATAATTGTAAGTAAAGAACGCCAGGAAATTGTAGAAAATGAATATTAACCTCTAATACATTAATCAATCTTTATTTGTACTTAAATAGTAAATTTCCGTGTAGTGCTCGTGAATTTATTTGTACTTAGAAAATTATGACGGATTATTAACAATAACATTTCAGAACATTTAGTAAATTACACTAAGCTCGAGGTGCCTAACTGCTCCTTATTAATGACATTAACTCTCTGACCCGAGAGGTTGTCTTCCACGTTGCCCGAAAGACTCGGCGAGGGACCCTGTGAGCTGCCGTACACCTTTGTGCTGTACCCCGAATCGTTGTGTGACTCCCGATCTGTTTGGCTTTGAGTTTCCGTCAAATGCGTGTTTATTGCTAACGATTGCAATCTACTGTGTAAGAGTGTATGGTCTGGTTTCCTCAGATGTGGGTTTCTTTCGTAGTTCGGATACATTGGCGGATTGTGATCGTAGTAACCTCGAAAGTGTTCATTTTGATTGGCGATCTCTACTTCCGTGTTCTGGTCCAAATGTTCGCTGTAGCAGTGAGGTATTCGCTCTATTTCCCGGATGATGTGGTCGTTCATCATTGCGTGGAAGACACCGGTCTGATTGTGGTATATCGGGTTTCTGCTCCTGCTCTGCTGTGCCTGTGGGAGGCCCGGTTCGTAGTCGTAATGCTCTTGGCAATATTGCGGTGAATGAGCATTTTCCATTTCTCTATAGGGCATCTGCTGCTGAACTTGTCTGTTTGGTAATTCATGAAAGTATGCGTCTTTCGGTATCATGCGAATGTCGTGAGGATAACTAGTGTGGACTTGAGGCGCGGGTGACTGCGATTTTGTAGACATGGTCTCGTAATTGGGCAGAGGTAAGGTTTGTAAGAGATTCGTATTTCTCATCGGTCCTGGTTGGTTCGTAGTTCTAATGGGATTGTCCTCTTCATCGCTGCTTTCAGAATTATTTCCGTTTTCTTTCTGTGGACTTTGGAAGGTTTTTCTCGTTGGGAAGGGTATGAGATTGTGAAGACTAAATCTTTTGGTTTTCGGTGGTTTTTCTTTTAAAACCGGCGCTGGCCTTTGAGGTTGTTGTGGCATTTTTAATATAGGCTGAATCGGTTGTTTTGGTGGTAATGTTGAATCTCTTTCAGGTACTTTTATACTTAATGGCAATCTTTCAGGTGATATACATCTGTGTTGATGTTCTACTTGGGCTACCAATTCTTGCACAGATTTCCGTGGCTCCCTATCAACGTTATTTTCTTGGAGATTTTGTCTCAATCGAACGTAACCATCTTGAGGAATATTCTCCAGCGCTCGAGAATTTCTAATCATGACATCTGCCATTTCTTTTTCTAACATTACTCTCTTTCTTATATCGTCTGCAGTTCTTTGCAATACTTGGCTCTTCCAGGCTGGTACGCTCTGTGATACGTCTTCCTGATTTCTATGGACTTCTCTTGTCTCCGAATGACTTCCTGGAGATCTTATACTACTTGGGGAAGATATAGATTGGCGACTAGGGGATGTATAACTATCATTAACGACTGAAATCTCGTTGGGTGTCGGTGTTCGTAATTCAGATGGTTTATTTAAATATTCATGAACTTCTGCCGTTACACTCTGTGGCTGCTCTGCACAATTTATGTGAGATGTTATCGTAAAAGGAGATCTGCAATTCCTGCTCGGCCCAGCATCCAAGTGATCACTACTTTTTGAATTCTTAAGTATATGCTTTCTTTTTGGACTCCTTGGAGTCCTGTCTAGACCTTCGGTACTCTTGGAAGTCGCTTTACAGTCTAAATCGTTGCATTCGTTAAGTTCAGAATTATCATAGTTCCTAATATGATTATCAACAGTACTCCATTCCTCCGAATTTACATCCAAAAGCTCCAGACTTCGTGTTCTCTTTATAGGTGGTATATCCACGGAACCTTTAGGACTGAAATCCAGTTTTTTAGCGCGTTCTGATGCACGGAACATAATTCCTCTAGTGAGCCACTGTTCTAAATGTTTATGTCTCTCTTTGCACAGTGCTCGTTCTGCCGCTACATACCTCGTCAATTCAGAGATTTGCCCTTGGGTTTTCATCTCCAAGTCCGTTACTTTCTGGTCAATTTTTTCATGCGCCCGGTCAATATGCTTCTTTAAGTCTTTCTTATCTTCATTTAATTTGTTTTCCATGTGTTTGAAGAATGGTGCGCAGTAGCAAGTATATCCGGCACCTATCGGACCCTTTTTAATGTTCCCCGCTAAATCTAAGTAATACTGTTCACCCTTTTTCAACGGTTCGGTGGGAAGGGAACTAAGCTTAGGTTTCGGGAAATATTTGGGATCTGGATAGTAATGGCAACCGTACGGAGACCATTTCACTTGAGGAGTCTCAAAGTGGACATTCTTCTTTTTCTTTTCTTTGCTTCGGTCTCTCTGTTTGCCGTCGTCCGGTTCGTCTATGCCTCGCTCTTTGCTTTTATCTCGGTGCTTCTCTTTCTTTTTAGGTTGTTTTGCGACTGGGGTATTGAGTATGGCAATAATTTCATTTAGACCTTTTCTAGTGGCAATATCTCTGGCTGTTTCTCCTTGGTGATTTTTTAGGGACTTATCGCAACCGGCTTCAAGAAGAATTCTAGTCAATTTTCTTCTCCCCATCGCTGCCGCTATGTGTAGTGCTGTGTCACCATTCTTGTTTTGCTCAGAAACTCTGCACTGAGCTGATATGAGGATTCTGGTGACACCCGCGTGACCGTACCGCGCCGCTGTATGCAGGGACGTATCTCCGTACTGAAACAGAAAATATCTTAAATAAACATACTACCTCGCTCAGTCTTCGTAAGTCTTGTTTCTGAAACTTAGTACATATGTAAAAAACCTTACAGGCGAAAAATAAAAAATGAAAAGATAGGTATACATAATTATTTTAAGTGCAGAAGTATTGTAATAAGAGGGCGCAGTAACGGGTTGAAATGTGTTAAAAAGTAGTGTCTATCCTTATATTTAGTAACATATTACGTATAATTTATATGATAAGACTCTCTAAGTAATCAGAGTTATTTCAAATAGTTAGGTCCAGCATGATAAATCAAGTGAAGAGCCAACATTTTACAACCTTGTCTTAACTATCTAATAACATACGTTATTTTGTAAGTCGGGTGGGGCATTAGCGAGCAGTATCTCTCTTGCTGACTGGTTGTGTCCGTTCTGCGTAGCGAGGTGTAACGCCGCGAATCCCGCCGCATTGCGTACGCGCAAGTCGCCCGCTCGCGCGAGTAACGCCACACATCGGGAGTAACCCTTCCATGCTGCTTCATGCGCTGCAGTGTTGCCATGCTGGAATTGGTGAAATAAATGATTAAAATTTGAACACAAACTATGTTAACATGTGTTTAAATTCAATGTATACATAATAGGTACTGTTAATGACTAATTTCTTTTAGAACAAAATAAGCAATCGCCACCAAGTTTCTTAACTACGCGAACAATTATCTAATATTAGCGTCATGATATACTTCAGGAACCCTTTACACAGTGTTATATATAAGATAAGTCTTCGCCTTGAACCCTTTATATAGTATAGCTCCTATAAGCTTAATAATATAATCTGTACTATTAGGCCAGGCTTAAAATTAATTAACAGAACAAGAAATATTACTTATAATTTAATATACAATACGGTATTATGCTATGGACTACATGTCATAGACTCAAATTAAATGAATTGCAGCTCACTTCTAGAAAAATTGCCCTTTCATGTTTCTGCCTACCACTCGTAGTCATGCTCTGTTTCACGTTCCTCACATCAACACCAACTATGCAAAAAACTCAGTTTTGTATACGCAGTCCGGACATACAACGACCAATATTTAAGCCTTGACTTGTTTAAGCTATCGCGGAATATTCTTAATAGAAGTATTAAGAATATGCATAGCGCTAAACCACTTGCATCATGAGCACAACCTCACTTTCACACCATCACAAAGCACAGCCGAATTAGGTATTACGTATTTAATAATTTTTCTTTCACTTCCGATCTTTTCCTTTCGTAAATATTTGAACCTTTTTGTATATATTATGTATTCCGTCTGGCTACATCTTTACTACAATTGTTTTTGTTGTATATAATTTATGTTGGCTGTAGGAATACCATGTAAATAAATATGCATGTATAACTCACCACATGGTCTTGCCTATTTGGATCAGCACCATTTTCGAGTAGTAGCCTGACAGCTTCCACGTGACCATCGGCTGCCGCTCGTTGCAAGGCGCTGCATCCATTCTGAAATTGTTCCATAGTTAAAAAACATAGTTTAACAAGTTATACTTCTTTGGCGTAACAAGATAAAATCATAGTCAAAAATTTAAATTTTATCTTTCGCCTTATTCTACGTTTTTAGAAAAAACTACACTAACTATAGAAAAAAGGTATTTAAAACATTGAAAGTTTTATTATAACGCATTCTCTAGTTATATAAAGTTTATTTAAATATCACAAAAAATAATATTTCTACATAATTAAAGAAATTGACATTTTTTATTGAAGTTGTACTTCTTTAGGCGCGTTATGAAAAATTGATGAGAGTGAAATTTTACGATTGCGCGCGCACCTATGACACAAAATTGGCAGTGTGATATAGCGTGCGCGAGCGAGATGGGAATAAGACAAACTACAAGTAAAAAGAAATAGAATATGCGTGAAGCTAACTTCACGCATATTCTAGCTTAGCAGCTTAACAAGAATTTTGAATGACCATGACAATTGACATCTGACAATGACATTTACCTTTTAAACAAATATAGGAGTTTTAATTATTGTTTAAAATTAATAATTATATACCTAGTTATTTTCATTATACAAAATATTTGTGAAATAATATAAAATATTTGTGAAAAAACTGTGCTAACCTTCCTGAGTGCTTCAATACAATTGAGGTTAACTATCCGTATGTATTATCGAGTATTATTGTTGATTAAAACTGAAACATGAACCATTATTCATTGCTTTTGTTTATTGCGTTTGTTACAGCAACTTTTTAGAAATATTCTACGACCCTATATATCAATAATTGAGAACAAAGATTTAAGCACGAATACTAATAAGGAGAAAATGAAGGCTTGGAGCGATATAACAGAGAAGTAAACATTTTAATAAGTACCTGCATCTCAAAAAAATGACCACATTATTTAATCAAAACATCAGATTTAATCTAGCAAATATAAGGACAAGAGACAAAAAACAATTGATGAATCAGTGGAAGTGCACTAAATTGAATACAAAAAAAGAGTTGTCATCTTATCGCCGTGAAACATCAAAAACTGGAGGTGGAACAAAGCCACCATCACCTTCTCGAGACACAATGGTTTGAAGTAGATTTCAATGAATTTGATTGTGATGGTGTCGAGGTAGGAATGTTAATTATAAATATGATGTATGGTGATGTTCAAGGTTCAACCTTTCAAGCATAGGCATATGCTTACAACATTACTTTATTCCCCTACAGGGTAGTTAGAGATATTGTAATACCTCAAAACATCCATGTTGCACTTGTAGTACCGAAACTCTGTCCTGCCAGAAGTGAGCCCATTCCCACTTATAATGGACAGTGGGTATAATACACCTTAATACCTGAGTGCGAACCACTCACCGTGATACTTAAATTAATAGATGTTATTTATATATTTCAGGTTATTACAAATAAAATCATTTTGGAAACAATTGATATCCCAAAAGCAAATAAAGCCAACAATGACAAGGTAATAAATCAGTTTTGACATAACTTGAATACTAAAAAAGCCAAACAAAGGTGTGCACAACAGTGACAACATAACTTAACAATTTCATTATTTTGTAGGATTAAAGAAAGGTTAAAGAAAATCATGTCGAACTGAACAACAAGAATCCCCAAACAACTCCAAAGAAACCTACAAGGAAGACACCGGTATTATATTTAAATTATCTCTATCTCTAAATAGAATAAAAGAAAGTTGCTATCCAGGTCTGTAGCATGTGCTACAAATTATATTATTAACACATTTATATAATTATATTAATATAAATGTGTTAAAAATTTATAATATGAATTATAAAAAATTTTAAGTTTTGCATGGACAGAGCTTAAATTAATATTCTCTTATTTGTTGCAGAAAGCAAGTAGTTTTGGAGAAGCCTCGTAGATGCACAACCAAGTAATGATTAATTTAAAATTACAAACCGAAATTCTGATGAAGACATTAGAGTCACTTAAAAATAAATAGTATAATGAAATAAAAATGTTTTAAAGATAAATAGTGTTTTATTTGTTTAATGTAAGAGAATAATAATAAATATTTATTTAATTAATTTTTCAAATGTAAACTGAACTTTATTGACTTTAATGACTCCTTTTCCAGTCTTTGATTATTTAATTGTAATTAATTATTTGCATGCAATCAAAAACTATTTTTAATAATGCCAAAGAAGTATAACTTCTTACGCGCGTACATAAGTACACGCACCCTTTATTTTAAAATGTTGACTATGCTAACTTCAGGGTGTCGGTTTTTTGTGACGGTGTGCGCATGTAAAAATTTACTCTCATCATTTTTCTCTAACGCGCCAAAAGAAGTATAACTTCAAAAATCTTATCTCGTTTACTTACTACAGAATCATGAGAGAGAAGAGCATTGAATTGTAATTTTTACGTTGATCGGATCAAATTCCCCAACAGTAACGGTCCCTTGACAAAACCGCAAAGCCAAGGCCCTCTTAGGTTGCCTTACCATGGTCAATTTGTTTTATTTGTCGTAAATGCGCATAAACCTGCCCATAATTAGCTTTCCTAATACAGTTACAAGTGGATAGCAGGTTGCAAGCCAGTTATAATTATTACATAACTGTGTAGTCGTTACGAAATGTCAGCCGTTTGACGTTGGCACTCGACAAAAACAACATATCAAGTCAATATAGATCACCTGTTTAATTTTTTGTATCAGGGCCAAAGATTAACTCAATATTGAAATCAATAATAATGATCGCATTGAGCAGCGATGTTTATCATTCAAAGTGACAAAAAGTTTTGCGTTTATATAACTTAATCGTAATACTTATAATTGGGTACAAGACAAAAACACGTGGAAAAATCTAACACATTTTTGAAAATAAATAAAAACTATAATAGCTGCCTCAGTTAAGAACTTCCCAAAGATAAGTTTAAATAAAAAGTAAAACCCACAAGCAAACGTCTAAAATATATACATTTTTCTATGAAGACAATTGTTGCCGTTTTTTTTACATAAAAATAATTTCTGTTATTTTATTCTTAAAGAGTATATTGTATTGTTAAGAGTATATTGTATTGAATCCTGAGTGCACCAAAAATGGTAGGTGCATCTATTTTAAGAGTCAACTATCTTTCTAGTCAGAAAACTTTCAGTATTACTATTGTTTTATTATTTTCTATCGAACCTGTAGGTTTGCGACATAATAATGTTGCGATATGCCTTGAATATCTTTGTTGTCTCCCGAAAAATAAACCAGAAGAAAAAATTAGTACATTTAACTAATTACTGGTTATAAATTATCTGGCTCCTTGGATGGATACCTCGGTAGAAAAGAAACGCGCTGCCGCCCACGGACTAGATAAACTGACGGCATCGTCTAGGAGGTTGGCTCCTAGTGGATATAGAGAGTCCAGTACAGGGCGTACTGGAGGAAAACGGAGGAGGCCTACATCCAGAAATGGACCAAATAAAGTGTCTTGCCTGTATCTTGTATAGTTTTTAAAGGTGAAGTACGAGTTAGTAGCTAGTAAGTGTGTTTTAACATAGTCATATAGCTTATTAATGTATAAATTTTAAACTTATATACATTTTTGGGAGTTTTTAAAATGAGAAAGGTCACATTTTTTCAAAATTAACAGAAGTCCCACATAAACATTGCGGTTGGCGTTTTTCAAGTATCACATGTTCCGGCGGCAGTCGTAAAGTAGTTAGCAAGTATTTATGTAGGAATTGAGAACAGAGTCCTCGTAATTGGACAGTAAATCGGTCGCTTCAGAGCATTTCTGAACGAATGCCATTGTATTTACGAGTATGGATATTAGCTTGGCCTATTGTGAGATATCTCACCGCTTAATTGGGGTTTTCTTATTTCAACAATGATTTAAATACCGACGTTATCCTAAGGTAGAGGAATTTGTTTTGATGTCTTTGTCCGAAGTAATAATTTTACCTCAATCAATCAATTGTATGTTTTAAGGCAGTTTTTGCCACGTACCACCACTATGTGGATCCAGCTGCCCACTAATGCATTTCCGAACTAAATCGATTTAGGGTCCTTCAAGAAAAGAGCGTACCAATTTTTAAAAGACCGGCAACGCACTTCCGAGCTTTCTGGAATTGTGAGTGTCCATTGGTGGCATCACTTAACATCAGGTGAACCTCCTACCCGTTTACGTCCTGTTACCTACATAAAACAAAAATGTAGAACTAAACTTACATCAACCTCTTTGGTAAAATCTGTGCTCTTGTCGTCAAACGTGGTTTTTGCTTATGTGAATTTATATTCACAATATTTATGGGAGAGAATATTTTCTATGTATTAGTTGTGTATTAGCGCCGATTGCATGTACGGTACTTGACGACATGCATTACCTTACAGTTTTTGTTTCCCATCATCTTTGGAATTACAATACAAAATGATGTCTTTGTGCATCTCAAAGTTTCTTATGAACGATGAGTGGGGAACATTAAATGGAACTTTTGTAAAAATCGTGGTATATTTATAGGTGACTTAATAGATACGTATATAGCAAGATACATAGATAATAGGTGGACCTTAAATGACCGTATGGAAAGGACCAAGAGAAAGAAGGAGAAGAGGTCGCCTAAAAAAAAGGTGGATAGGAAAATAGAAGCGGTAGTAGGAAACGAATGGAGAAAGAGACCCATAGACAGAGTCAGTTGGAAAAAGCTGGAGGAGGCCTTTACCCGTGAAGGGGTTCCGATCGACGGTACTGAAGGAAGCTAGGATATAGGATAACAAGCAAAAGAAAAAAAAAGAAAAATGTAAAATAATCTAAGCTGTGTATTAAATTTGTTTTTTTTCACTAGCGGAAATAAAACGGGCTTTATAATTATTATTAATAGATACGTCTCGACGTCCGCTGTTCAATTGATGATTGATTTGTAAAATATTTTGGCATGCGCCACCACTATGTGGAACCAGCTCGCCCTATGGCATTGAGAGTGTCCATGGACAGTATCACTTAACAACAGATGAGCCAAAAAGTGCACTATTTC